ACAAGGATTATAGGTTTTATGTCAACATATAGTGATTTCCCAATATTGATCATATTGTTATTAAATTTGTTTAATGTTTGATTCAATATTTAATGACATTATTCCCGCCATTAGGAAAATGAAAGGCTAGAAGGATTACCAAGGATTTTGTATTAAATTATTTTTAAATTTCAAAATATCATTAATATTATTTAATGTTTGATTCAATATTTAATGCTATTATTCTTGCGAATAGGGAAAGCTTTTCAAATCGAAAAATGAAAGGCTAGAAGAATTACCGAAGATTTTGTATTAATTATGTTTAAATTTCGGAAGTTCATTAATATTGTTTAATGTTTAATTCTATATCTAATGACATTAATATCGCCAATAAGAAAATTTTTTTAAATCAATCCGCTTTAATGTAAAATCAAATAAATATTTATCTTTTTTTATGACACATAATGGAAAAAAAAACCATTAATGCAGATTGTTTGAAAAATTTCCTTTTTTTTTTTTTCATCTCACCAAATACAAAATCGAAAGTTCACCACACAATTAATTAATATATACTTTAATTTTGAATTGATAACACTTGGTTAATTGGAAATTCAAAGAACTGTTTGTGTAATTGTTGTAAATACTTTTTATTTCAACCTATACGAAAATGACACATAAATGATGTTGCCACTAGTTCTAGTCGGGGTAAATTCACCTAATCCAGCTTTCCTCTTGAAATCGGCCGGCTTTAGTCCATAATTTTTAAAAAGACTCGATTTTGTTCCTTAATTTAAACAATTTGGTCAAATTTTGCTCTGCAGAACGAGTTAGTTTAATTATTAATTATCTGCAGAATGAAGCTAGTATGAGAGGACAACATATGGTATGTATAGAGATATTGCATCCAACTCAAGAAAACCACTGTAATTCACATTGTAATTGGTGAGTTATATTATTTCTACAACAAATCGTAATTCACAGTATACATTATTTTCTTGGTTCTGAGGGAATAGAAGAAAAAAAAAAAAAACAAAAACGACCCTCTTTTTTTTTGTTGAAACAAAATGACCCGTTCAAATGCATTAAATTGTATACCAGGTGCAATCTAAGATAGTGGTAGTAGTATTACTGTCAGCTGTTTTTTTTTTGGTCAACGTCTAAACTTTAATTGATTCAAACTTGTAGAGGCAGTAATAAGTATTATTGTCAGCTTCTTCAAATTTCCACAGAAGAAGGGATATAAGTACAAAACGAAGAAAATAGTTCTATCCAAGGCGGTAACACTTTTGTTCAATGAATGAAAAGATATACAACTAATTAATCCCAGGAAATCTCTGAGTAGTAAACTTCGTAGATATGTAGTTGAATTTTGATGACTATTTCTGGAAACTTCTCAAGTAATTTTCTAGTTTTTTTTTTTTTTTTTCCTTCCTGGTTTCACCCAAAAAATACATGGTTCCAAAGTTTTAGAGATTGAATCTCATGAGTCATGAATCATCAGAGGTCATACTTCAAAATTAACAGTATCTAGCAGTAAAAATTGAACAAATCTGGTCATTTGGGCAATCAAATTCTAATGTAACACGCATAGTATCAGTTAATCAGCAGTAGCACCAGCAGGCAGCAATAGGTAGATTATATATAGGTTGCCTTTACCTCTTCTTTCAGCTTCAGAAGAAGGTTTTTCTTAGGTTAGAAACATAAAGAATTTCAAAATTCAAAAAAAAAAAAAATCAATGTTACTACTTGACTTTTCTATATCAATGAAAAAGTAAAAAAAAAAAAAAAAAAAAACTAATACAAATGCATTTCACCCCGAACAAAAAAGAGAAACTTGATTGGGAAAGTTGACGCGAGAAACCTTTTTTTTTTTTTTTTTTTTAACATACACTGAAGTTGAATCAGTACAAATAGTAGGACTATGTCCTAGTACTGTAGTAATTTTTTAAATTTTTAGATAAATCTCAGCAAGTAAAGAATGCCTAGGATTAGGTTTTCTCTCAATAATGATTTGAAGAAGTTGGGCCTATTGGGCTCCTTCGAAAAAAATATTGGTGTGTTGCCTTTAATCAAGTTAGGATGAAGTTTGTGCAAGGGCTGGTGTCTTTCCTAATTCATTTGGACCAGTTAACTTAGTTGTAGTTTTTCTTCTAAAACCCAAAAATCACCTGACGGGATATATAATCAAAAATTCAAAACTTAAAAATAGTTTTAATACGATTGCATGTGGTAACCAAAAATTATCCTAAATAATCCAATTACAAACCTAAATGCATATCGCAAAAAGAGCTTTCAAAGTGTAGGAAGACTATATTTGGACGTGAAAACTTTGAAGATATGTCAATGCGTTTGCAAGTCATGGAAAGAGATTACGTCCGAGGCTCAATTCGTGAACACGCACCGTGATCGATCTATGGACAGGAGAGACTCCAACCTTCTTTTTGCTTGCTTAGGCTATATAATACTACCAAGTTTTTTGTCATTCGCAATTCTTATATAGAAGTTCGTGGGGTTCCACCTCAAAACTAATTGGCTATGAGGGGAATAGCCTATGATGTTTATATATTGTTACAAAGTATCTCCGGACGCCAATGTGGGATAAATACTTCAACACTTGACACAGAAGATAATCATAATACGCGACTAAACCACTTTGAGAGTGGCTTTTGACATCATCGTGAATTATTGAATTGGAGCACATATCTATCACTAATGATTAGTTGTGATTTGTGGTGCTTCACGTTTAAATAACGTTGTGTTGTGCAATTCCAAATTGAGCCAATCTTATAACCTGCCTAGACCATGTCCCCTACCAACCAACTCGGGAATCTCATCTCAAATTGATCCAAGGGTTGATGAAAAAGCTGTTTTTGGAATTCTTAATTTATTCCTTTTTGGTAACATCTCCATTCTTTTGGTTGGTAAACAAGATGAAGGTTCTTACTAGATAGATTGTGGACCTGATGATGTACTATATGCAGTATTACATCCATGTTTTGGGAAAAAATTTAAACTTAAATCGGTATTAATGATTTCAATGTTAACTTTATTTTTCAGACCAGAGATTAGTGTCACTTTACCTCAACAAGTCAAACTTTAAAATTCGAGCTTAATATACACACTATGTCGTCGTCAAGAATTTCCAAATTAACCAGAGACTTTGAGAAATGTCAACTGTGTGATACATAACATGTGACTCAACTGCTTTAAACCCCAAATGACAGCTTTAAACCCTAAACTCCGAAAAAAGACACTTCAACAGAATATGCATATCTTCTACTATTGGTTTTGCCAATAATAATAACAAAGCGTGAATACAATTATAGCAAAATAAAAAATAAAAGGAGAACTTGTTATAGGAGTGCGAAATGCGAATACAGTTGTAGCACACGATTACTGAGGATAATAAATTTAGAAATTAGTGCTCATTATCGTCAACATCTTTTTGTCAGCTTGAAGTTTGAACCACTACTATCAAAAAAATAAAGATCAACACATACAGTCTACAGAAAGTGTTGTACGGTTCTAGTTGCCACACACAGTTACTACTTAGAATAAAGATTAGATGTGGGGTGTACGGATTAACTTACCTAGATCTCCCACAACAATTTTACGGGTACAAGAGATTATTTTGTTAGAATATAATGTAAAATAATCACTATTAACATGACCCCCACAAGAATATATCAACCTTTTTATCCTGTAATATTTCTTCCACCATTCAATTTTATTTATTAACTACCAGTAAATTATAAGATACTATTAGGAATTAAGAATATAACTCAATGCCTGGTCATAATTAAACATAGTAGACATGAATTGATTGGCCAACATTAATCTAATGGCATGAAGTCCGGAATAAAATTGTGTTGTTCTTTTTACCCAAAATGATTGTCATGTTTAATTTTTTAGCTTTAATTTTGGTACGATGTAAATTTAAATTGAATAGTTATTTCTGAATAGAAGAAACTTACGTTGAAGAAGCTATAAAGAGAAAAAGTGAAAAGAAATTGTTCTAAAATCAACTCAACCCCGAACCCCTCAAGTGATTTGAAATGACCACCACTAAAATTGATACTATATATGCTAAAACAAACTTTAGCATGTAAAAATCCAATAGAAGTAAAATTTTTTTGTACACACAAATGTAGAAAGATTCTGGTTCAATTATGCCGATTTCCTTGTCCGGCACGGGGGTTTGTGGTTTTCATGATGGATTTGCATATTCCTCTAGCTCGCCACTACCATCAATCTAATTAGGTGCAGTAGGTCATCGACTTCTGATAGGCTAAAAGTGAAAATTTGTTGGACAGTCTTCTTGATTTATGAGCATAAAAGAATTAAACAATTCTTAAAAGGACGAAGATTTCTCCTTTCATTTCATGCTTCAACAAATTTATTTATTTTTTTGATTTGATTATAGCAAGAAAAGTAACTTTATTTAGTGATAAAAATGATTGCCATGGTTTCATACTCAAGTTTATAAGGCATTTAAATTCACAACATGAACTTATAATAACTAAAACAAAAAAGTTGTTCTTTTTCTTTACTTTTAAAAATGTGTAATGCATATCTCAATGAAAGCAGTGTGACCATTATATTCTTTCTGTCCTCTTCTTTTTAAGTTTTTAAATATATCATGATGATTAATGCGCTCGTTATCTCGATGACCATATAGGACGACCCAAATGGAAAAAGAACAAACTTATCTAGCTACTAAATAGTGGTGGAGAAGTAGATTATCAAAATATATATAACCCAAGTATTAATAAAAATAGTCTTTGATGATAATTAACTTTGTACAAAAGCTTAAACCATTCAATCAAAGTGTTGAAAAAGAGATGTTTACCCAAAAAAATAAGAGTTGATAAACTGCGTTATATTGGAATTTGATTGAATGTAATACTCCTGTAAAAAAAAAAAAAAAAAAATTAGTATGGACCTTAGTTTTCAATTTTCAATTGGAGCTAGTTGCCATAAAGTCGTGCATGCTTCGATCTTTCCGTTAAATTGGACATGGAAAAAGGTACAAAATAGACATTTCATTTATATATGCGCTTATACAGTTGGTGTCCTGAAGTCATTGCTCCGACTACCTCCTCACGCGGATAATATACATAAATCTTTAACGTCCTTTGTGTCCTACGCCAGGTCGGAATTAATCTTACAGTCCAAAAATTTTCCTCTGTTTTTTAGTGCTATAAACAACTACTACTACTACTACAAAGTGTTTCTTCTCTGCTCCTTCACTTTCAATTCAACTCAATTCTTCATTTCCTTTCTCTCTGCTCCATCACCTAAAAAAGTTTAACGAAGGATACCATCATGCCAACTTCTTCAGAACTTCCAGATTGCTTCTACTCAAAAACACCTCCAGATTTGATCACTCCTTGTAACCCAACACCTAAACACACCATTTACCTCTCAAATCTCGATGATCAAACTTTCCTCAGATTCTCAATCAAATACCTTTACCTCTTCAAGAAATCCACCAACGTTGATTTGCTCAAACAATCTCTGTCTCGGGTTCTCGTTGACTACTACCCATTAGCCGGAAGGTTGAGGAAAAGCCGAGAAAGTGACCATAAGCTTGAGGTTGAGTGCAATGGAGAAGGAGCGGTTTTTGCTGAAGCTTTCATGGACATAACCGCTGATGAGTTCGATGAAATCTCCGACAAGCCCAACAGGAGTTTCAGGAAACTCTTGTACAAGGTTGAAGCTCCAACTTTCCTGGACATTCCTCCTCTAGTTGTTCAGGTCAGCTTCTAGGCTCTATAGCTAGCTCAATCAGAAGTTGATATATTGTTTATTCATCAGGAGGAGATTCATTAATGTCTTGATTTTGTGCAATTAAAAAACATTTCTTTATATTCTCTTTGGAGACACACCTTCCTACAATTTCTCCTCTTTCAATCACACTACATTTAATGAGTGGCAAAACTACATACTTCCTTTGTCCCGAAATTATTGTTCAATTTGGATTTTCAGTTTTAGAACAAATTGAACTAAAAGTAAAAATCCAAACTGGCTAATGATTTTGGAACAGAAGGTGTAATTTTTATTAGAAAAACTCTTTAGAAATAGTTCAATAAAATTTCATCCCAAGGGGTCTGAAATTAAAACCCCTAAGGTGTGGTTAGGGAAAGTAGATTGGGCTATAGTTTCTAGTGAAAAACCAAGAGAACGAATATTTACTTGGTGTTAATTTTTATATTCTATTAGGTGACACTATTTCATTTGGGGTTTTCTATTGCCACTTATGGACTTTAAACCAAGTACAACTAATTAAAAACATGTATAGATAGATGAAGAAGGAATTGTGGAATGGTACTGAACTTTCGTTTTCAATCAAACGTCTTAGATGCTGATATTTAGGGTACCAACACCCAAAGGTAACATGTGGAAGGCTCAATTGGCCACCATTATTGTTTCCCCCACACTTCTCTCACACAAAGCTAGCTAGCTAGTTGATCATCAAGTTTCCCAACTCCTCAACAAAAAACATTCATATGATCTCCACCTTTTGTAGGGTCACTTCCTGTCTTTTTTGCTGTTTATATATGATTTTTACCTAAACTTGTTGCTTTCTAGAATTGTTACTCGCTCATTTTCGAAATTATTGTTGAGTTTGAATTTTAGTTTTGATTTAAATTATATTAAAATTGAAAATGTAAGGTGGACAATAATTTTGAGACAGTGTATTTTATCGACAAAATACCGATAATTATGAATATTATTAATATTCTCTTGTCACAAAAATGGTTGTAATTTAATTGCTGTTAGGTTAAATTACGTCGAGACATGGATGTCTGTGATTTAATCAAGTAAGATTCTCCAAAGTTTTGCCTGAAATGCTTGAGCTCTTCAATTTGGAATTGGCTACGCAAAAAGAAGTTATTTGGGCAAAAAGGCAAAAAATAAAAAAATAGACCACTAGATTGGATAGAGGGGAATTTTTGTTAACAAAGGTGTTTGTTTTGTTTCATATGTAGTATTTTACCTGGTTCCAAAAACTCGAAAATGGACAACCAAAACTAAAAAAAGGTAACATGACCCTACATCTCTGGAGTAATCCATTTATTGGCCTTCTTCCTTTTGTTCCTTTCACTTGCTAATATAAGTTTTGGTTTCCTCCTTTTTTCTCAAAATTTATTTCCTCCGAATATTCAAAATACGAAATCATTTCTGTCAATAAAATCAATCATTACTCCCTCTATTTCTAGTTTTCTACAGAGTTAGTCCACTTTACTGTACTTCAATTAAGACAGTTCACGCATATTTATTTTGAAGCGAAAATCTATTATTCGTTGAACTATTATTATATATTATTTTTTGATCTTATTTTTTTCTATTCCTGTCTGACTGAAAATTGCTGTTTTACACAGGTAACGAATCTCAGGTGCGGAGGTATGATTCTGTGCACCGCAATCAATCACGGCCTGTGCGATGGGATCGGCACTGCTCAATTCCTACAAGCTTGGGCCCACCTCACTACAAAATCTACCACTGAACTTCCAATCATACCCTTCCATCACCGCCACGTCCTCAAACCACGGTGTCCTCCCCAAGTAACTTTCTCCCATCCAACGTTTGCCAAATCTACCCCTGACAATAAACCTAGTTTCCAAAGTGATCCCAATCTCTTTCATTATTTACAATCTCAGCCACTTGTGCCGTCATCTTTAATTTTTAAGGCCTCTAGCATCCTCAGCCTGAAGAGGAAATGTGTCCCCTCACTAAAATGCACCAACTTTGACATTGTATCTGCTCACACATGGCGATGTTGGGTTAGATCATTCGATTTGTCACCGTCTGTCGAGGTGAAACTTTTGTTTTCGATGAATATCAGGAGGAAATTGGAACTTGAAATCCCTGAAGGCTATTACGGAAATGCGTTTGTGTTAGGATGTGTTGAGGCCACGGTTAAAGAATTGACGGAAGATAACTTGCATGGCGTGGTGAAACTAGTGCAACACGCGAAATCTAAAGTCACGGGCGATTATGTGAAATCTATGATTGACCATTTGGAAGATAAAACGCTAAAGGTAGATCTTTCCAGGAGCTTGGTGATTTCTCCATGGTCAAAATTAGGACTAGAGGATTTAGATTTCGGAGAAGGGAAGGCTTTGCAAATGGGTCCTCTAACTAGTGATATTTACTGTTTGTTCCTGCCGATTATGACGGATGTTGACGCCGTTAGAGTTCTGGTGTCAATGCCAGAGAGTGTAGTGAGTAAGTTTGAGAAGTACATGACAGAGTTTGAAGATAATGGGATGGTCAGAAATGGAGAGCCAAATGGTAATTGCAATGGTGACTTAAGTCTTCATTCACAATGAACTTATAAAGCTAACTTTTTTTTCCTTTTTTTTTTTTCTTTTTTAACTTAATTTGTTTCTTTAACTAGTTGAGCTTGTCAATTTCTAAATGGCATATAAGGCTTTCATCGATGAAGTTACTCTCCCATCGTAGAAATGAACATTATTGTAACATTAATAGCATAGTTTTGCTGTTAGAGATTTATGTGTAATTATTTATATGGTATACATTTTATAATTAACACTAGCTAGCTAGTTGAATGATTGAATATGGCATCAATCATTAGTCTCGCTTAAATATTTTTGGGTAGAATATTGATGAATGAATTTCATTCTTTTGTGATCATCCCACCCGAAATATAGAGGATGGGCAACAGAAAGTAATAATGCAATGTCCTCCTCACTGTCGATTTTTACGCCTTTTTTTGAAAGGGTTGGTCTCACATTACTGAAAAAAGGATCAAGATTTATGACCAACACGTAATTTCTTCTTAACCTGTCTTGAACTTTTTGCTTTGAACAAACATCCTTTTATCTTAAAAAACATGCGCATAAACTCCACTTTTAACTTTGATTCCATCATTAATTTGTCTGTCCATCTTTAACCAAGTACGTGCATGCATAGAATTAGGTACGTAAATTAGCTGTTTTTGCTGAACTGAAGATGTTACTATTAGAGAATTGTGAGGAAGAGAATACTGGACCGTGGAAGAATAAGTCGGAAGGATATTTAAGTATACTGGACCGTTAATTAGCAATAAAAATTTCAGGAGGTGTTGAATCAATGGTCCTCCAATAAAGTCTCCCTCTTTCTACCCAAAATAATTAATTAATACTGTGTTTTGCTATCAAGTTTAGTAACTATAGCTACGTAATACGTACACATGAAAAAAAGGTGGAAAACAAAATGGAAAATAAAACTACTAGTAGTAGTGAAAATGTATGTATTCATTAACCTCAATTCACCATTTTCGAACTCTAAACATAAGGTTTTTCGTACCAGTTAGTCTATTTCGCAGCTAAAATACCTAGGAGAATTTGGTGACTTAATTTGTGGTTGGTAATGGAAGTAATGGTTCAAACGGAGATTTTGAATAATGTCGTAACTGCAGAGGTGGCTCTTCCATAAGGCGAATGAAGCAATCGCTTTTGGCCCCCCAAGTTGAGAAGGGCCTTAAAATTTTAATAATAGTTAATACTATTATATATACTCTTCAAAAAATAATATTATATACATGTATATTAGAAAAATAATCAAAAGAAAACAATACTTGCTTTCCAAAGAAAAGGAAAAATAAAAATTTTAATTTCCATTTTCAACTCCAGATATCTAAATATGTTCAAATGTCAATATCAATTTTCAAAAATCTAACAATAAATTCTTAATTTTTTAAACCACTAAATCAATAAAATGATTTTTTTCCAGAAAGTATGAAAGCTATCAATTATATTATGAAAGTTTCATCAAAGAATTTGTTTAAAAACAAATGGAAACTTAACTTAGTATAAACAATTTTGAAGGAGAAAAAAGCTTAAAAGATAAATTTAATCTTTTTTAATATAAAAAAATTCCCTTTTCTCTTAAACGTAAATAAACAAAGAGCACTATTTTTTTTAGTTTTTTCTTTTAAAAGGCCCCAACAAAAAAATTCGCTTTAGGTCCCTCAAAACGTTGAATCGCCCCTGCATAACTTTGCTATACAATATAATGTTATTAAATAGTAAACCCCAACAAGGTCGCAATCTAGAATTCTATATATATTTTTTCTGTGAGCATTTTTATAATTAATAAATTGTACTCCTTCCATAATCCATACATCCCAAAGTTATTGTCTACTTTGAATTTTTATTTATAGTTCAAATTATGCTGAAAATGAAATTATAAATTGCCAATAATTTAGAGACAGAGAGAATATCATTTTTACTTCTTTTTGTTTTTGTCTTGAATTTGCTATCGATTTTGTTTATAACGCAAATATTCATGTTTTGAAAATACGTAGACCATTGCAGTATTATTCTGATTTAGTAAAAAAATCATGTTTCAAATTGCTTGTAATGTAGTATGCGATGAGAATATCTGGTAAATTATCTGGTACACCCAGGGGCACCGTGTACCCCCTTGTGCGTGTACTTTACTCTCTTAGAATAGCGTGAGTCCGCTAGATAATTCAGCTCACACACACAATTTTCTTCTTTAATTAACAGCAATATTATGTGATGATTGTCCATGCTATAATTGCTGGTTATCCACCTATTTTATACTAGTTATCCAGAAGGTGTAAATTGGTTATCCACAAGTTGTAAACTGGTTATCCAAAAGGTGTAAACTGGTTATCCACAAGTTGTAAACTGGTTATCTAAATTTTGTATGTGGTTATCCACCTATTTTATACTAGTTATCCACAGGGTGTAAACTGGTTATCCATACTTTTTTTTTAGATGTGCTTCTATGTAGCTACCTGTCCATACAATTTGCTGGTTATTCACCTATTTCCGGTGCCCCTGCAAATTCCGGCGGTGCGCCGCCTCGTTGTTTAGTTAATTTGTGTTCCCTCTTAACGCAATAACACACTTTCCTTACACACACACTCTCCTTACACACCAAAAAAAAAAGGGATTACCTTAGCTATATTGACATGTTCGGCGGGGCGGCGCAGCCGGGGCAGGTTGGTGACCTGTGATTCCGGTAGCTGCGGGAGTCGTTTAGTTTATCATGGGGGGCGAAACCCCCCAAAATTAACATGCCGTTTGCTCCTTTACCTCTGGATAACCAGTTTACACCTTCTGGATAATCAGTTTACGCCTTCTGGATAACCAGTTTACAACTTGTGGATAACCAGTTTACACCTTCTGGATAACCAGTTTACGCCTTGTGGATAACCAATTTACATTTTCTGGATAACCAATTTATCCCTTCTGGATAACCAATTTATAACTTGTGGATAAAATATGGATAACCAGCAATTGTGTGTGTTTGTGCGTGAGAATGAAAACAGTAAAATGGATGAAAACAATTTTGTTTGTGCATTTAATGTAAAGATGAAAAATGTTGAGCGCGTGTAGTGCGTGTGTTTGGTGGGGGTATATGATATACCCGGGTGCACTAGATATGGATTGAATATCTTACTAAAAAAAAGAAAAATATCTAATACGAGATTTGGAGCAATTAAAGCAAAGGAATATCCCGTACAAAACGAGCAGAAAATAAAAATATCAGAGAATATTAAAGGAGGTATTTTTCCTTTTCAAGAAAAAAAATATAAACGACGCGACAGCGTCAACGCCCCGAGTAAAAGAGTCAACGCTTTCATTCACACACGTCAGATGTTATCTGCCGGGTGTTTTTTTCCTCAAAATTTTACTTAATTTTAACGGTAAATTTATTCTTAAACCTCTCCCTCTTTACTAGGGCTTCTTCCGCCGAAGGACAAAAAAAAAAAGAAAAAAAAAATCTGTCGGCGTGCTTTCTCCTCTGCGCATCAAGATTTTCTGAGGTTTGTCCTCTGTTCTTTGTGATTAAGTTATGTTTCCTTCTCATTTTTGGTTCTGAATGTAGTTTATTTGATTGTTTCCCCTACTTGGGAATATAAATTCTGGATTAGTGGCAAAGGTTCTTTCGATCTCTGTTATGCTGTTCCTTTTTTTTATTTGGAGGATTTGAATTGGGTTTCAGTGAGGGGTTCATGTGGTTTGTTCGTTTTGGTTGCGCCTCATGTAATTTAGGTCGTCCTTGATTGCAATTAAACTGGAAAGTTTGATTTTTTCTTTCCCCCCCCCTGGTTAGTCATGGTCAATTTGATCGGTTGATTGACTTCTGTAATCTTGTCTGCTGCTGGTTTATGCTTAATTGTGCTAAGCTTTAAGTATTCTAACTGTTTTGCATGTGGGTTTTTGTTTACTGTATGGTTGTGTTTGGGTTGGGGCAGGCGGATGGTGGGGATTATTATAGGTTCCTCTTTTGGAATTCAGTAAACCCTTGTTTGATTCAATGCTTCTTGAAGATGGACTAGTGAAATTTTTGTAGTAGACTGGAAGCCGTTGTATGTGATGTTTTGTTTGTTAACACAGCAATAATTAAGCCTGAATCCCAACTGGTGTTTGTTCAATTGGCTATATAAATTACTATGGTTTTCTTGTTATCTTTTTGGTCAAAAGAATTGTATTGTTTCGTGTAGGCTTTGTTTGTTAACGTGCGAAAGAAGAATGAAATAGAGCAACCTTTCTGTAAGTTTAGATCTTTACTGAGATATCAAACATTGACTTATTGTTTTAAGTTACCAGAATAAGAAAAATCTGTCTTTTGGCTCGATACTGTGCTTTTGGTTCGGAAATGCATATGACAATTAATGAGACTTATGGAATTTGGTGAACCTTTAGAGTGGGTTCATCAAGATCAGGACTATGTATTTTGGATGGATAGATGATGTTCTGTATATTAAGATGTATGCACAAGTCTTCTTATCTGTTGCCTGTATGTTAAGTATAGGTTTTTACCCTTGTGTTGCCAAGGTCCCAAAATCTTGACAAAATGTTTTCTTATCTTTATATCAGCTATTGATTCGGGAGGGAGACCATGGCAGGTTGTCTGCCAGGCAATCCTCTTTCCCATGGAATCACAAAAAGTTCAGCCAGTAATTCACCAGAGGAGCAAGTGTCTCTCACGCACAAATGGTACTTCACCAAGGAAGAAATTGATAACCATTCTCCATCCCGGAAGGACGGAATCTCCTTGAAAAAGGAGGCACAGTTACGAGCATTGTACTGTGCATATCTGTCGGATCTTGGAATTGCATTGAATATGTAAGCTCTATATGGTTCCTCTATCAATGAAAATACTGCCAGATTTGATAGTTAAAACCGTTGACTTTGTTTTAAAGGAGAAACAAACAACTATAATGATCATTATTCATTAATGAAGCACTTATCTTGTGTCCAGGTATTTTGGAACCGAATAACACCTTCAGCCTTGATTCATAAGTTTAATGTGTATTTTGTTGCTGATTGAATGTCTGAATCTAAACCACCCCCTCTCTCTCGATTTGATACAGTATGGGAGGTATTCTTGCAGCTTGAATGTGACTCATCAATACTAGGCTATTTCCTTTTCAGTTCCAAACTCTAAACTATTGTGGTGCCAGATTAACCGCTATATGAAAATAGTTTTTTCCTCCATGTCACTACTCTTTTTGTATATTTACTACCACAATGTTACTGAGGCCTCAATGTACATCAGCTTGATTCTGTTCACAAGCTGGGGGTCTTTTTTCCTTTAAACTTGTCTGTTATGTGGTATTGTCTTTCTGCTTTCAAACTATTTCCATGTATTGGGCGGTGAAAAATTTACTACAACGTTAATCTTAGTAATGGATATAAGAAATGTTGTTATTCTGTTCTGCAGGCCTCAAAAGACCATTGCAGTTGCAACGATGTTCTGTCACCGTTTTTTCATGCGCCAGTCTCATGCTAAGAATCATTGGCAGGTGAGTCCTTTTGGTTATTCTATTTGGTGGATTTTCATTTCTTTACAGCAGGGAGTATCTTCGGGTCACTTGAGACCATGGTTTTGTCCTTTTTTTTGCCCCCTTCTTCAATATAATTCTGAACCATCAGTTAGTATGTAAATTTGAGTTGTGTACTGCTGAATCTGAAATGATCAGATGGTTTCCTGTAAACATGTGAAGTGTAATGTTCTTTTGTGGTTTATTTTGCGCATTAACTTTGTTTCATGTGTATCTTTCAAATGATTGATTTCATGAATTCATTTATGAGTGCTGTAAGCTAAATGAGACTTTCCCCCTTGAACACATGATAGTTTTTGCTATATATTTTAGCGGACGTGAGTCTTTTTGGTAATTTTTTTTGTAGTTTTTGGCTGAGAATTAATTTTGATACTTGTTGATGTTTTGCATTTTCTAAGGCAAAGGTTCTCTTTTTCCCTGTATAATTTTGCGTTTGTAATTTATGATGGGTTAGAGAAGTGATTTTGATTGAATATCATTCTAACGGGAGGCTGTTCCTGTGTATTCTCTCTCTTGAGCTGTGAAGCTTCCTGTATGATATTCAATCTGTTTGAATATAAATTTGTTCATAATCATCTTCAGCCTGGTTTGTCAGAGTAAGAGGATAAAGACATGCACATTAATATATATAATGTGCAGTGACACATTTTTTTGGGGTAATTTTCTGCCATTCTTCATGTTATGGTTGCCTCTTTGCAGAGTATTGCTGCTGCAGCCTTGTTCCTCGCCAGTAAAGCTGAAGAGACACCATGTTTCCTGAGAGAGATGGTTATTATGGCTGGCGAGAAGGCATGTAAATGGGATCCTCTCGTCTCGCAGAAACCTCTTGCCCAACAGAAAATTAGGCAGAGGGTATAGCCACATCTTTCTCTGTTCCACCCCTAAACCTCTCCCATTTTTTCTCCCTTTTCTATTTTGCATTGGGGTATTTTATCTAATCTTTGTGTTGTGCAGGAAACTTATGATAAGCAGAAAGAAACTCTTTTACTTGGGGAACGGCTTCTGTTGGCCACTTTAGCTTTTGAACTGAGCATTGAACTCCCATACAAGCCTCTTGTTGCAGCTGCAAAGGAATTGAAGATTCCTGTTGAAGTGACTAAAGTGGCATGGAATTATGTGAATGACTGGTATATCTGTTATGGCTTTAGTCCCTCCACATGTTGTTATTAGCAACATGTTTCTGAAAGATTGTTGGCTTTTCTTTCTGTTTGTGGGACGTTCAGGGTCCAGACAACATTATGCTTGGAGTTCAAGCCTCAATATATCGCAGCTGGATCTTTGTATTTTGCTGCACAACGTCAGAAGTATCAGCTGCCAGACAAAAAAGGGAATGTTTGGTGGATGCATTTCAGTGTTTCACCGAAACAATTAAAAGGTATGTGCGGTCTTTCCTTCTTTATCAGATTTTTTTTCTTCCTTCTGGATCATTAAAAAGTGCCCATAGTGGTCAATTCCCCATTTCCCTGTTGTGTTATATCATCCTGGTAGTGATGGAGTAAAGCTATTATTTAAGCGTAAGTAGGTAAATTAAGCTACTTTTATCTGATTTCTTGTTCCCATCTTCAGTCTTCATTCAGCATATGCAGAGGTTTGATCTGTATCAGCAAGTATTGCCATCCAGAGGCAGCCGCGGGATGATCAAATCAGAATGTAACAGTCAAAGTGCATCACTTAGTAGCCCAGAGTCTTGTGTTTCAAATGGCTCTATTGCTGCTCAAGAACCAGAAAATAGGACACAGCTGGATTCTGAAGGAGCATCCAAACTGTCCGAAGGTCACCAAATAAAGAAACCAATTGATGTTCAAGCTGATTTCAGAAAAGCAAAGGGTTGCCAGACTAGTAATAATACTAGTAGTCCTACCAGTGTTGTTGAAGAAGGAGATACCGGCCCAAAAGTTGAAAAATCTGAACAAAACTTGGGGTTGAAGCATGCTTTTACCGACAGCCATAATAGCATAGACATTGATCGAATTAGGGAGAAATTTAAAAAGAGGAGACTGGACAGGAAGATGGAAAAGAAGGTAGATTTGGAAAGCAGTTTTGACATAGATGACGAGGCCTGGATAGAGAGAGAGATTGAATTTGGACTGAAGAAATAATTACCTCTCGCAAGAAGAGATTCTGATGCGGGATTTGATATTCACCTTATTTAAGCTGGAGAATCTTGCCAGGATTTGAAGATCTGAAGAGATGATGTAAAGTGTACTGCTGGGTGGCATATTTAAGAAATTGTAAGCTGACAGGTTTTAAATTACTAGACTTTTCGGGAGTAGTGGAACAAGTAGGTTTACTATGATTTTATGCCAAAGGAAGGGTATCTTTTCGAATCCTGGATTACCATTCTGGTCATATATAGATATTTAAACTGGCTAAGCTTTGTAAGAAGCTTCAACAGTGAACTCTTTTGTAAATGTAAATAATTTTCTGCAATGACTCAGTTGTTCAGCCAGTGATAATTCCTTGGCATTGTTGCAGTTTATCTGCGTATTTAGGTCAAACCATTTTTTTTTTTTTTTTTTTTTTTTTTTTGTATAGAAAGACTGGTCGATTGATATGAAATATCTTAGATTGAGATACCTTTTTAGTCAGTCCCAAACTTTTGTCTTAGACTTATGAAGTCTCTCTGTAGTCTTTACTGATGTCTCATCTGCAACCCTTCTGTAAGTTTTTCTTTTTCTGTCGTAGCACCATTTATACTGATGTACACAGACTAATGGCCTTTCTGTAAGTTAATGAAGAGAGAATTAACATTTCCTTTTTGTTCTGGACTATATATGCAAGGAAGGACCCTAATCTCGCTTGTCATTCAATTTATTTTCATTGTTTGGTTATGCACATTTTGTTAGGGTTATTTTTTTCTCAGAATTTTTAATATAAGATACAGATATACATCCATTTCATTATTATTATTATTATTATCGGTGAATATTGTGTTTTAATCACGAGATATCAATTGAGATTGATGATTGTCGAATCATTAAAATCCCTAATTAAATACTAATCTAGAAGCCAAATAATCAGAAACAAAAAAACTCCCTAAACAAACTAGATTTCAGCAACCCATTCTTTCATCCATGAACTCGCAAAAAGCTCGAACCAAACCATCAAACCACACTCCAATCATCTTGCAACCCCAAAACCATCTTAACCCCACTTTGATAAAAGCAAGTTGGGACGTGGGGAGGCCTTTTGAAATAGACCCATCACTCAACAAATTCATGGAATAATTTTGTTCATCCAACTTGAGGAGTATGATCTCCTCTTAGGTCTATATAATTTTCAACACTAAAAGGTGCTAGTTAACTTGAATGTTATTAAAAAAAAAAAGAAGAAGAAGAAGCTTTTCGTAGATACTTTATTTTCTAATTTAATGTTCTTTTATTTGTGTAAAACCAAGTATTTTAATTCCTAGTAAAACTTTTTTAGTGAAAACATGCACAATAAGAAATTTTATTTTTCGACAAATGATGATATATTAGAGAAAGTCTGATAAAAACTTGTTCACTTTGTCGGGAGTGACAATCAAAATCAAACACGACAACAAAGACGACATTGATAAAGCATGTAGTTACATTGACCCTTTGAGATATACAGCCCTAAAGAATCAATTAAAAAGCAAAATCTTTCAAAACCCTAAGTTTAATTTGGTTGGAAACGAGACGAATCTTTCGTGGGGGGTTCTTTGAAATTGAAATGATTAATTTATGAAAATGTACAAGCATAACCTGTCGCATAAACAGCTTTTTATGAAATCAATCTTGGAAGCTAGTGAAGCTAAAACAAAGTATATACTTGGAAAGCTGACAAGAAAGTGGAATAAAACCTCAATTAACAAAAAAATGAAAAAGGACGTGATATAGAAATATTCATAAGATTTGATTTACTCAAATTTCAACAATCCACTTATAATTTTAAATAAGTAGGCTATAGAGGTGATGATGTAATTTCTTAGAGCATCTCCAACCATTCTACTATAATTTACGTCAAGTTTAGTGTAAAAATAGAATATTTCAAAAACCTTTTTACACCAAAGTTCTTTGTTCTCTAACCTTGATGCACCAAATGGTTTAAATATTTAATGTTGCAGGTTAAATTTTATTTTGTGGTTAATTAAAATGTTGTAATTTGTTGATAATTCTGTGAAATTTATTTCTCATAATCGCTTCTTATTTGATTGTAGTAGTATCATTTTTTTTTTCAATTTTGTTTCATATTCAATTTTAATAATAACTAAAAATTAATTTTTTTAAAAATAAATTTTATATACAATATGGTTCTTATTTTGAAGTTCTCAACAAAATATTTAATATGATATAATTTTCCTAACATAATTCGTTTTAAAAGTTCAATTACAAAGCAAACATATATTTAGATCAAAGTAAAAAGACAGTACACTAAAAATAGCGTAATGGACAATTTACACCAAATCTGGTGTAACACTATTCATTACACCAAAATAGTGTAGTGATTTGGTGTCTTCGTTCGAGTTTAATCTTTATACCAAAACATCGAATTTAGTGTTTTAGTGTCTTGGTTGGAGATGCTCTTATAATGCCAACAAAATCAACATAATTTCTTATAAGGGCTTTTTTTTTAAAAAAATATTTTACGGTGAGGTTTATTGCTTATATCATTTCTCTTACGAAAATACACCAAATAAGAAAAGTGAAACTTTAAAAATGAAAGGGCCGTGGGTTTGTGTGTATATTGAGTAGTGAAATGTGTGTCTCCTTGTCTGTTTTAACACCAAAAATAATATAAATACAAGGTGAAGGATGTGTAAGCATGCTGGATGGATTAAAGGAAAAAAGGGGAAATAAAGCAAAGGGAAAAGTTGCCCATACTCTTCTGTTTTCTCACATTCTCCCATCCAACTACTAACTTTTTTTAAAATTTTTTTTTATTTCTTGTTTTAAATTTTTGCCATAGGATTTGAACCTTTGTGGGCCTAATTTAGATCTTTTGGAAAAAAAAATAAAAAAATATTAGGGGCATTACAATATTATTTACCTTAATTACATCAAAATCAATTAGTCATACTAGTTTAATGTTGTGTGTTCTTTTGAGAGTGATCATTAGGGAAAGTTTTTATCTTCATCTCCTAACTTATCATCATAAACATTCATATGTATGCTTTGGAAACAAACAAAATCATCAAAGAAAGTAATCCTTGCCTTTTCTTGGTCCTCATATATGTAGCAAGCTTTTTACAGCCTTTGCATTGTAAAAGCTTCCATGTTATATATTGATTCAAGGCTTTATAGATGACTTTCTTTGAACGCTTTGAAAAGGGTATCTTTCCCACTAATTAAAACCATGAGATATTTTTCTTTTCAAAATAAACAAAGACAGCTTTAATCTCTCTTTTTTTTTTTATATATATATATTACACACCTGGTGTTCGAAGTTCTTATTCCGATTAATCCGGATTTGAGACAGTTCCAATCTCTAAGTGAGTCTCTCATATTCCAATAGTTTAACCTTTAGTTGTAATCAAGTATTCAAATAGATTAGCATACCAATTAAATAAAAAAAGGTGAGGGACCATTATGGTAATTACTTCTCCCTTTAAGCCAAAGACAGAAATGCTGCATGGAAAGCAAGCATATTCCTAGTCACCTTTCACATAACCTTGATGGATCAAACCTTAAACAAAGGTGAAAACACAGTTTACTACGTCACTGTAGCATATATGGTCTCACTTTTAATTCCTATGATTTTTTATTTTATTTTATTTTTTTTCACATAGGCAGAGAGATGCTATTAATTGTCAGAATGAACGCATCAAACCAAACACTTGATCCACGAATAAATCATATCAACAGTGACCGAAAGAAATAGATAAACCAATAAAAAGAATTACCAAGAGAATGATAACGTCAGAGAGAGCTAAAAAATACGTCACAAATTGAGATGAAATTTATATATAGTTTTGATCATGTCCTTTTTACGTAAATTGCATAAGCGTGGGCTGTCTTCTGGTTTAATGATTTTTTTTTTTTTTTTCTGGGTGAAGTACAAATAAGAAGATGATGATGATATAGCCAGTCCCTTTGGGGCTTGGGGTCCCCCATTTATTTCACATAAAAGTTTCATGTTATCATAAATTTTTGTTCATTTCTTTCTTTTGCGTATTACTGTTCTTCTGCGTTGCTTTTTTCATATTTCCTTGAATTTTTTTTTTTTTTGCTTTCTACGTAATTGAAGAAGTAAAACATGACAAAATCAAATTTTCAGTGATGATTTTCTCACATGATTTTCTTTGCATCTCCTTGGTTTTATATGGCCAAACGGAATCTTACCAAAATTCCTATCCTTCCTCCACTTGGATATTTAGTTTGAACGTTGAATCCTTTTTTTTTTCGTCTCCATTTTTTTCTGTATTAATCGCGCATGTCACTATATTTATGAAATTGACCGTAAATATTAAAGCTCAAATGAAATGTTTCTTCCACCTTCTTATACGTAGCAATTTAGATTGAAAATTAACTTTTGCGAATGTATTGAAAAGAAAGAAATGATATCTGGATCAATTTGTTTCCTCTTACCAATGGTAATGAAATACTTTTTCTGTCTCAGAATTTTTGTCAAATTTAAATTTTCACTTTTAATTTATTTTATACTAAAAATGAAAATCGGATATGAATAACAATTTTGGGACAGATGAAATAAATAGATTGTCGATCGTGTACTTACGTGCCTTTCTACATTCCAGTCGAATAAATTCTTGTTCGTAAAACTAAAACAGGATTATTAGTAAAAGAAAAAAAAAACGTCTATTAGACTATTACTATGTGGGACGGAAGAAATCGTACCATGTTTACTTTCTTCTAAGTTTTCCCCCCAAAGATCGTGAATCGTTTTTAACCATCCAATGGACCACAATGATTCAGCTAGAAGGAGAATACAAAAGAACCAAACCAAAGAATTTGATGACCTACCTATCCTTTTGGTCTCCCTTGTGAATATATACTTGTTACCATTAGATACCAACCGAATACAATATAAGTTAGGGAGGGACTAATGAGAGAAAACATGTGGATATAAGAGAAAGGGCATGACCACAAAATATGATCATTTCCCTTCTGCAGAAAAAAAAGCCTTGGGATCGAAGGCAGAGAGGGGATCTTAATCATGGCATATAGGATAAATAACACCACATATAATCATCCTCCTGTAATTGCAGACTACAAAACAAAAAAAAAAAAAGTACTTACAATAATATTCTGCCCTTCATCCCATATATAGTTCAGAGCAAAAAGAAAAGAGAGGATAGATGCATATTCATGATATTATTTTTTATTTTTGTGTGAGTTCAAAAAGTTGACTGAAAAAGTGAAGAGCTTGCTGAAAAAACAAATAATATTGAAGGACTGATCAGAAAGAAAAGAAAACAAAGACTATTCATTTATTCATTTATATATATATATATATATACATATATATACATTCAAGCTCTCTATATAGGTTCCTTCTCTTTCTTGCTTTTCAAGGGCCACTTTTAAGAAGGGGAGGAGGATTTTTTTTTTTTTTTTTTGGAAAGAGTAAAGAGGAAACCATGAAAAGTTGCTAAAAGCAAAGAAGGGGTTATGTCTGTCTGTGTTTGTGGGTGACACCTGAGTTAAGATGGGTGTTGAGAGCTAAGAAAGAGAGCCATATCAAGAAAGAAAGAAAAGGGAAATTCATTTGAAGATCAGATTAGAGAGAGCTTTTAGAGTTCATAGTTCCTCTTTTGGTTTAGTTGATTAATTTAATTCAGTTTTTTTTTTTTTTTTTTTTGCATCCCTTGGGATTTTCAAGTGGGTTAAAAATTTATATTAGTTAGCATCATTACTTCTTTCATTATGGAATCTGCAAAAATCCCTCATCACCACCACCGCAGCCACCACCATCATCACCACCACCAACAAGTACAACTACTTTCTGTTCATCCACAAGATCAGCTTCTTGGTTCTTCTTCTTCTACAAATAATTTATCAGACTATTCTCCTGTCTATGTTGCTCCAAGTCCTCATCTTTGGACCTCAAACAATTCTATCTTGTTGTAAGTCTCTCTTTTTTTCTTTTTTATTACCATCAATACTTTGGAAGTACACTTATTAATCATGTGTTTCCTAAATTACACCAACTAGAAGAATCAACTCCTAAATTCACTTTACTTATGGTATAATGATGATGTATATATCCTGTGTGTAGTACTTATCCTGCACCATAATTATGAGTTGTTCATAGAATATGGAATCTCTCTTTTCCACCCCTCTCCTTCTTTTCTTGCTCATATATATTCTTTCAATAATGTTGGACTTGATTTGTGTACGTCAATCAAAAAGTGTTCCAAAATTGGCTCGATAAATGTTCACATGAGCCAATTTACTTTTCATGTTTTTTGGAATCTTGATGAAATAGCAAATTAACACTTTTGACACTCAAAAAAAGATGAAAACAGTACTTAACATAGATGTGTGGAAGATGAGAAAGAATGAATTCAGTCAAGCGAATAAATCACACAGTAAAAAGAGTGAGCTTGCTATAGCTAGTTTCTTACTAGGGTTTTAGGGTTCTCGACTTTGTTGAATAACTTGAAACTATACACTATTAACCATTCTTTTTTCTTGTTTACTTCATGTGCAGGAATAGTACTATTAATGGTAGCTTTGATTCATCTGATCAAGCCGACCTAAGTTCAAGGAATCCGAGGTTTGAACATCATGATAACACTATCCTAGTCCCTTCCCTAAGTTCAAGTTCTTCCATAATTACTCAAGATTTGAGCTTCAACCACTGGCTATTAGCTAATGCTGCGGGAAGAAACATCAAGCAACAACTTTCAAACCGATCTTGCCCGAATCTAAGCGAAATGATTAGCTCTAGTAGCCCATCATCAAGCATAGAAGATGATCCTAATGTGAATTTGTTGCTTAGTACATTGTCTTCTTCTGGAAGTCAAAACAGCAGATTCCAATCATCTTGTTCACCTGAGGAGTTGATCATGTATTCTTCTTCTTCTTCAGTACCTTCTAAAAGGCCTACTTTCAGCCAGATTTACCCTACCATTAACATCTCCAATTTTAGTATTACTACTCAAACAACATCTTTGGCGAATTCGGCCGGTGCTTTTGACGTGGCCACCTTGCGACCGTTGGATCTCTTGAATCCGGCAAGGTCTTTGCAAGAACATCAAGTTGGTAATTATCCTAATGTCGGCGGATATGATGACGCGAAGCCATCATTTCAACAGCCATTGGAATCTTCTTATAGCAATAATCATAATAACAATGTGAGTTTATATATATATATGTGTGTGTGTGTGTTGTTTTTATATATCCTTCATTAATTTGGACAACTTTATTATACCATGCATGTTCATTAATGTCCATTTTTACAAAAAAAAAACTTCTCTTTTCTCTCTTATATATATATATATATATTTTCCGAATTCACTAAAGTTTGATAAGATTGCGAACTGAAGGAGTTTGCTGACTAAAGTTTGGCTCGCTTGTTTCTTGAAGAAGACGACGGCTTTTAACAATGGAGGTGGAGAAGAAAAAAGTAGAAGCAGTAATAATTCGGAGCCGAAAGCAGCAACAAAGCGACCAAGATTAGAATCGAACCGTCCATCCTGCCCACCCCTTAAGGTTCGATGAAATGCTTGAGAATTGATTCCATTTCTTGCCTTTTTTTTAGTACTGCTGATTAGCTCAATGGTTTATCAAACTTTTTTTTTTACTAAAATGGAAAAAAAAAAACAGGTTAGAAAAGAGAAATTGGGAGATAGAATTGCAGCTCTTCAACAGTTAGTCGCACCCTTCGGCAAGGTATGCTAATATAGTATCATAATTTTCATCTTTTAATGGCATCAAAGTTCTTTTCTTATCACCAATGCTTATTATAGCCGCAAAAGCCGACAGAGAAGGAATTGGAATAAATTCATGTCTGCCTTATGTGGCTCTGTGGTCCGGGAATATCGAGGGAGGCCAGTACTACTACTTCTTGAACATCCATGGGAATTTCAGAAAAATATGAAGAAATCCATCATGTCCAATGTTTCTATTCACAATTTTAAAAATAACAAGGTGTTAGTAATCAAGTAATCTTTTTACATTTCTTTTTATCATAAAACTCATCATAACTAATTCATTCGAATTAGGGTTCCCTCTTCTTTGTTTCCCTTTGTTTTTGAGGGCCGAGTTTTAGATATGCAACAAGCACATAATAGACACGGCTCTTGTTTTGGAACAGAATAATATTATCTATACATGTGTGTGGAAAAGAAGAATAAGTAGGTTTATGTAATACCTTGTTTATGTAATACCTTGTTCAATAGATTTAATGAAATTCTTAAGACTAATGATATGTATTTGTGATGCACGTGGGGGTCCGGGGAGGAATATTGCAGACTGACACAGCATCCGTACTAATGGAGGCCTTCGGTTACATCAAATTCCTTCAAAATCAAGTTGAGGTATTTTGTACATCATGATTCTTCTTTGTTTTTGGTCCCTTGCTTTTGTCATACACCTCAGATATTCCAGCCCGAGGGATAGCTTCAATTAATTAATTCACATTATATGGGTTGTTTAGCTCATCAAAATGTATTGCTATAATCATGATGTATTATTAAAATGAGACGAGAAAATGTTACAATACACCACATGCTGAAACTTGTGAACTAAGTAAATTGAACATGATTTAAAGAGATGAAAAGAAAGCACATTGTTGATGAAGCATATATGTATGTTTTATACAGCCAACCCAAAAAGGGTTTTGGAGAAAGGAAAAAAGAAACCTAATATCAAATAGTAACACTACTTCCTTTTCCTTGTTTCATGGGCTGTGTGTTGGATCTTAATTTGGTCAAAGCATCGAACTGTCAAAATCTTTCAAACCTTTAAAGTGCTTTTTGTTCGATGCATTTTGCTATTCTTTTACATGATGGGATGGTATATTTTACAGCCATAATTAAAATTATTGGTTTGTTGATTATCGCTAAGCATAGGTGTCGAAACTTGAGCTGCGAATTTCGAAAGTAGTTGAATATAACACGGTCATCCTAATTATCTTCCAACATAGTGTTTTTATCTATAAAAAAATTTATCTTATGTATTCCCTCCGTCCTATAAAAATAGTTTACATTAAGTTTTGAGTTTTGAATTTTATACTTTTTATAGTACAAATTTGAAAACTGAATGTGGACTATTTTTTTTTTTTGGGACAGAGATATTATTCTTTTAGTATAATATTTTTGAGCTAATTTTAGTATAATTGAGATTGACTCTTTTGTTTGGGCAGGATGTGATTTTTATTACTTTCGTTTACTATTTATACATCCTGATAAGCTATCAAGAATGCTAGACGATTGAGTCATAGAAAGATTTGACAATCTTACCGCTGAAATTCAATAATAATGATATGTTTGACTTCATCATCAGTTCATTGTGATTCTAGATTGAGGAAATGTGGATGTGGAGTTGAATTTTCTCTTCTTTTTTCGCCTCTCGTCTAATTAATTTTGGAGGCTTTTGTTAACTTCATAATTGAACATTATGTTATTATTGATTCAGTTTTTTTTTCTTGTTTTTGGCAGACTCTAAGCTTGCCTTATCTGAAGCCGTCAAGAAACAAAACTAGTAGTAGAGCAATCCGTGGGGTAAGCCAAGAAAAAACACTATATAAGAATATAAAATGTATTCATATCTTTATATTATATTTTTTTCGTCTCAAAAAATATGTTCTAATAATTCTAAAAGTATTACAATAAAAAAAACAAAAGGATTATTTTAAGACCAAAAAATATATGTAATTATCTCAATAGAAGTATGATACATTTTTCAATGCATTTAGGGTCCAGAGGAGGTGGATGGAAGCGAAAGGAAACGAGATCTTAGAAGTCGAGGGCTGTGCTTGGTGCCAATGTCGTGCTTGTCTTATATGACTGACACCGGCGGAAGCGTTTGGCCACCGCCACCGAACTTCGGCGGCGGAACTTGACTCCGGTCACTGTGCAAGTCCTTCATATGCTCAAACTAGTGTTAGCTTCTAGTTGCCGGCAAACGTGTTTTTTGTTTTACAAAAATTTTGACAAATTGATCATGAATATTTTAGCTCCGCCACTATTCTCTCATTGATGTACGGATTAAAATTAATTAATGGAGCAAATTTGGTCATTTTGGGAAAAAAAAAGAAAAAGAAAAACCAGGATGGACCAAGTTTGATCCATAAAGAAGAAGAACTAGTACGATACGTACTACTCAAATTAATTGACCATTATAGGTCCGATGACCAATTTGTTCACATTTCAGCAATTAAGCGGTAGCATTTGTTTAATTATTTACGGATTTGGAGTTTGTTTGATCATTTCCTTTTCTTTTCTTTCTTAATTTCGGACGTAACTGTACTCTCTAATAAATAGAGTGATCTATTGTTGCTCGATTCTCTTTGTGCAAATAAAAAGTATAAATCCATTAGATCCTGCGTACAATTTTCATTTCAGCCATTGAATTTTTTTACTTCATTAGTTTCAGGTTACTTCCGCAACTTGGGAGTGATATCAGAATCAGGGGAAAGAAAGCCCACCTAGTTGTTTCAATAACGTTGGACTTGGTTTATGTACATCAACCGAAAAGTGCTCCAAAACTAGGCATATGAGCCAACTTTTCATGTTTTTCCAATCTTGAACAAATTGCAAATTGACACTTCGAGGCTCCAGAAAGAAAGAAAAAAACAATACCGGTGATACTCTGATTTTGGAACGTCTCTACTTATTAAGTATAAATAGTGAAACCAACATTTTATTTAAACTTATTATTGTACACTGACGACTTAATCTTAGATAATAGAGATAAATTTTTAGAATCTAGTCAAATACTACCCACATTCTCAAAAAATAGTCTACTTTGAGTTTTGGTACAAAGCTCAAAAATCAATGTAGATTTTTTTGGGAATAGAGGTACAAATCTCAAAAAACAACGTTGACTTTTTTTTTTTAAAAAAAGAATAAGTATTAAATTAATCTAAATATAAATCTTAAAACTTAATATGGACTATTTTTTTTAGAACAGAAGAGTATTATATCAACCTAAATTACACTATTCTCTCGTAGTTCGCTGATTGACAAGAAATTACACATAAATTATTACTCATTATGTTCAGAAATAATTCACGTTAAATTTTTATTTGTATTATTTTAGTATAAAGGATATGAAAATTTGACATGAACTATTTTTTCGGGACAAAAAGAATAGTAATATCATTGCTAAATAAGCTAATAAGAAGATTTATCTTGTTTTCGGGATCTAAAGTTGAGGAAAAAGAAACTAATAGATTAAATAGTTACAATCAGAAACTATGAGACTACAAAAAAAGAAATTTTAAATTATTACCAAAGTACCCCCACCTAAACACTATCCAATGATATTTCATGCAAGTTCGTTATAGAATTCATCGTTACACACCCATTTTCTACCTCATTTCCCACGCCTCTCTCACACACACTCCAAAACTCCTCCATTGCCATTTCTCCTTAGCTTCAAATCCTTCTCCGTTTCCCAAAATTCAACCATAGAATCCAAGTAAAACAAAAAGGAAGAAAAGGCCGGGCCAAGAAGAGGGAGGAAAAGAAGAAAATCGGAGTGTGCATGATGATATGATTAATTCATGTGGAATCAATCTGAACGTTGGGAGTCCGACGTTATATCATTGTAGGTAATAATTAATGATATATTCAATTCACAGACAAATGGTAATTTGAAAGTCCGGAATTGTTAGTTAATTAATTTGGGATTTAATTTGCAAATTCAGTTCTTATAGTTAAATGTTGTTATTCTTTTCTTGCATGTCGTGTTTGACTGTCAAAGACTGTTGTTTCTTACCGTTTCTAAGTGGACTAGCACGATATTTTACGTTTTCGAACCTTGGTTTTAGCTTTTGCATCGGAAGAAGAATTTATACTACTCACCATTGATATTCAATCTGTATCAGAAAAGATCCAGAATCAAGCAACAACTTCCAAACCGATCTTGCCCGAATCTAAGGTGAAATGATTAGCGGCAGTAGCCCATCATCAAGCACAGAAGATGATCCTAATGTGAATCTGTTGCTTAGTACATTGTCTTCTTCTTCTGGAAGTCAAACCAGCAGATTCCAACAATCATCTTCTTGTTCTCCTGAAGACTTGATCATGTATTCTTCTTCGTCGCCTACTAAAAGGCCTACCTTCAGCCAGATTTACCCTACCATTAACATCTCCAACTTCAGTAGTTGTAGCCAAACAACACCTTTGGCAAATTCATCTTGCTCTTTTGATGCCACCTTAAATCCGGCAAGGTCCTTGCAAGATCATCATCAGGTTGGTAATTCTATTTCCGAGCATTCTTATAGTGCTAATGTCGAAGGATGTATGATTACATGAAGCAATCAGTTCAACAGCCATTTGAATCTTATAGCGATCACTACAACAAAAATGTGTAGTTTAGACAATTTTTTGTCTTAATAAGTGGTTTAATAAGTGGTGTAATAGGACACATGTGATTACATTACGTGAAAAATAGTGTCTTCTATAATCGAGTCACAATAAATTATAAAATATTTGAAAGTGTATTATTAGATTGTCACTTATTAAGACACTTTAAAGACACTTTAAAGTGACCCATTAAGTAGGGTAATAGTTCATAATCAACCCCACATAGTACAATTATGATAGTGTTTCATAATATGCATACAGTTTTCTTCATTTTTAATAAGACATTTTTTAGCAAATGTCCTAATACACATATAATGAGACATATTTTAAGAAAAGTATCCCACCATAAAGGTATTAATAGCTCATTTTTATTGTAGTGGATAATAATGTGAGTATATTTTTGTTATATATCCTTCTTCATTTATTTGTACAACTTTACTATGTAGCTTGCATGTCAATTTCAAATTAATTAAACCCTCTTGATCATTCTTAGAGAAAAAAAAATCATTTGCACATTGTCAGAAAGTATGGTCCTTTTCTCAATGAAGTTTGATTATTAGATTTCAATTTGAAAGAGTGACCTATTATTGATGTGTCCCCTTACTAACTATAAGTTGGCTTGCTTTTTTCTTGAAGAAGACGGCGGCCTTTGACAATGGAGCTGGAGAAGAAAAAAGTACAAGCAGTAACAATTTGGAGCTGAAACCAACCCAGCAACAAGCAACAAAGCGACCAAAATTAGAATCGAAATGTCCATCCTGTCCACCCTTTAAGGTTTGTTGAATTGATTAAGAATTAATTCCATAATTTCCATTTTTCCATAGTTCCATGTACTACTACATATATATGAGCTCACTGGTTTATCAAACTTTAGAAAAAACAGGTTAGAAAAGAGAAATTGGGAGATAAAATTGCAGCTCTTCAACAGCTAGTAGCACCCTTCGGCAAGGTACGTTAATATGTCATATGTCATCTTCTCGACTAATTATAACTAACTTTCATCTTTTAATGGCATCAAAGTTCTTTTCTTCATCATCAATGCTTATTTTAACCGCAAAAGCCAACAGAGAAGGAATTGGAATAAACTTCATGTCTGCCTTAAGTGGCTATACGTTCTGGGAATATTACACATTCATGGGAACATCAGAAAATGTGAAATTCACAATTTAAAACAGAAAAATGTAGTAATTGAGTGGGTCTCTTTATAATTATACCTATACAGTTCCCTCTCCTATGTTTTTTTTATTCTTATCTTTTAGGGGGTTGGATGTGCAACCAAGCACATAGTACTCTCTCTCATCCAAACATAAATTTTTTTTTTCTGGGAACGGAGAGAGTGAGTTAATATTATAATAATAAGGTTATAATATTTTAATGGAAAAGCATAACTATGTGAGTTTATTAAATAAAGAATTGGAATATTTAATGTGATTACTTGTTTTTAATTAAGCCATCAATAGATTTAATGAAATTCTTAAGACTAATGTGGTGCATTTGTGATTGGGAGGAATATCACAGACTGACACAGCATCCGTACTAATGGAGGCCTTCGGATACATCAAATTCCTTCAAAATCAAGCCGAGGTATGATATCTTTCTTCCTTCTTCCTTGCCCCAACTTGTATGTACATTATTATTCTTCTTCCTTCTTGGTCCCTTGCTTCAGTTGATTCATATTGTGTAAGCTGTTTAGTTCATCAAAATGTATTACTAAGTATTAAAATGGGACGAGATAATCTTAAGTACACCTCATGCTGAAACTTTTGAGCTAAGCAAATTGAACATGATTTGTAAAGATGTAAAGAAACACATTGTTAAATGAAAAATGTATATTGATTGTGTGGCCAACCAAAAAGGGCTTTGGAGGAAAAAAAAAGAAGAAACTTAATATCGAATAGTAATACTACTTCCTTAGTGGCCTTTCTCTTGTTCCGTGGGCTATTGTTGGGGCTTAATTTGGCCAAAGCAGCAAACAGTCAAAATCTTTCAGACTTGAAAGTGCCTTTTGTTCAATGCATATTGCTAAAAAGCAAAAATGGATTCCTACATGATAGGATGGATTTTTGCTAAAAAGCAAAAATGGATTTATTTGTTTGTTGATTATCACAAAACATAGGTGATAGGTGTTGAAATTGAGCTGTAATCTAGAAAGTAGGAGTATATGACACGATTAATACATAGTCCTCCAAACACACTTTTGTCTTTCCAGAGACGCATTTCAAGTAAATGTAATTCTTTCGTTCCAAATAATAAGAAGAGATCATTTTGTTGTAGTTTTTATAAGACACAAATTAAAAATAAAATAGTTTAAATTTGTTTCTTATAAATATGTAGAACTGAGGAAGTATCTTTTTAGTACAGTTAAGACAACCCTTGTTTTGGATAAAAATTTTATTATATACATATTGATAAGGTAGCCTCAAATCTGGATGACTATAAATCTTACCGATGAAATTCAATAATAATGATATATGTTTGACTTCATGATCATCAGTTCAACGTGATTCTAGGTGGAGGATTAATTTTGGATGCTTATGTTAATTTCATAAGTTAACATTATGTCACTTTTTTTTTTTCTTGCTCTTGGCAGACTCTAAGCCTTCCTTATCTGCAACCCTCAAGAATCAAAACTAATAATGTAGCAATCGATAGGGTAAGCCAAGGAAAAACATTACATACTGCTAAAGAATAAACTGTATTTTACATCTTTATTTTTCTCCGAGGAAATTTATTTTATATTTTTTAAATAAAATATGTAATACACTTTTCAATGCATTTAGGGTCCAGAGAAGGTGGATGGAGGCGAAAGAAAACAAGATCTTAGAAGCCTCGGGTTGTGCTTGGTGCCTATGTCATGCTTGTCTTTTATGACTGATGCCGGCGGAAGCGTTTGGTCACCGCCGAACTTAGGCAGTGCCACTTAATTCCGGCCAATTTGTAAGTCCTCCATACAATGCCGTACTAATATGGAAAGGAAGTGGTAGCATCTAGTTATCGGCGAACTTGTTTTTTATTTTTCAACTTTTGACTAAGTGATCATGTATCTTTTACCACCACCGCCATTTCTATTCTGGCATTGTATGGATTGAAATTAATTACTGGAGCAAATTTGGTCTTTTGGGTGTTGGTGAAGAATGTAAAAAAGAAAACCCAGCATCGACCAAGTTTGATCCATTAAGAAGAACTAGTACAACAACATAGTACTTTTGAATTTATTGCCCATTAGGTTTGATGCCCAATTTGTTGTTCATGGTTAATTAAGAAATTAAGTGCTACCTTAGCAAGTATTTATTCAAGTGATGGAGTTTGTTTAATCATTTTTTTCCTCTATATGTATCGGATTTAACTTTATAGTGTGTCTAACGAAATACAGTCCATATGAATATTTAAGAGCGTTGTTTGCTAACTAAAGTTTGTAAGATTGCGTAGGTATTATTCCGGAGGTTGACGATCTAAGTGTGGTTAAGATGTCCGAGGACGAGGAGGAAGGATTTCGGTTTGCATTGGAGTTTAATCATGGCTACCCGTGAGTTGATGTAAAGAGTATGGTCTGTAGAGTTGAAACACATATATCGGAAGCTGAGTTTTGCAACAGATTCTTTAGCAACTATAGTGACATTTAGCTCTGGCGGACTAATTTTGTTGGATGCATCGCTAGATTTTTTTTTTTTTTTTTTTATCGGATGTCCCCGAAGGGACAGGTGCATCGCTAGATGTGTTGAAACCATGGATGTATTATGATGTAGTTGTTGTTTTCTAACGTTATGTAATATTCAAGAATATCAAACATATACATTCTCTTATTGTTGGAAATAAAAGCAAAAAAAAAAAAAAAAAAAGAGAGAGAGATAAGAAAAACACTTTTCATAGCATATTATTATCAAACAGATATAGTGTTTTCTTGGATATGTTTATCGTTGCGTAACATTAATGCAAAATTAATTATTATTGACTCTAAATAAAAAATTAGTTATTGGCTAATTCGTCTTAGTGCTTGGAATGGTCTAGAAGAGACAAAAGTAATTTAAAATACTCAAACACCAGAAGCTACCAGCTTCCGACCACCGTAAAATATTTTTGATTTGTTGGTTGTAGACTTGTAGGTGTCTAACTTGTAATTAAACGCAATAAAATCCAATGAAAATATAGAATGGAATGAGCTGAGCTAGTGAAATGTGACCCATCGTTAAATCAAATATTCACATTTAATACGTAAAAAAAAAGAAAAGAAGAAGACATTTTTTTTAATCAAATTCCGAGTTATTATTTCATTTCATATTATATTTTCACGAGCTTTACTTTGTTCGCGCTAAATTCATATATCAAAAAAAAGTTACAATTGGCATTTTTTACTTCAGCGTTATCAAAATGATAAATATTTATAACCAACCTACACGTATTATGTAATATTCCTGTAAAAAAGATGATCTTATTGTAGTTTGTGATTTATATTGTTAGAGTTAAAATGCAATATAATCGGAGTTTTTAACTCCTTAATGTTTAATTTTTTTGCTTTTCAATTTTCGATTTCTTTTAGTATATACTAAAAGAAAGTTGTTAAGTGAATTGGCAAAAAAAAAGGAAACGAAGAAGAATACTGTTACACATTTTTGTCCTGAAATGAAAGTGTTGTTCGAATTTTTAATTTTAGTATTAAGCTGAAAATAAATATTTAAACTAAATAATAACTTAATTACGAGTAAAGGAATGCATTATGGTGGTTGGATAAAGGAGAACCGGTGGAAAAATATGCATAAGGCGGAAAGAGGAAGAAAGGGCTTGAATTTTGGTGAAGAAATGGCAATATAAGCCTTATCCAATACATACTTCCAAAAACTATCCTGGGTGTCAAAAATGTATACGTGGCAGCTATCCAGCGAGCTTTGATATTTATTGATACTGTCAAAAAAACCGCCGGCCGCTTGCGGCTACTATCAGAATTTAGCTGCTGACGCAATTCATGACTCACACACTAGTGTATATTCGGTACCTTTGACTCGTTCAAAGGTCGTAAATGACCTTCTTCTAGTAGCATGCTACTCTTATTTTCGTTTTATTTTTATTTATAAAATTCTCACCATATTCATGCCTTTTTTCTTTTTTCTTTTTTTTAAAAATCCAAATCGACAATTTTATGATGAAAAAGAACAACTACATATTCATGCCTGGTATGGATTATTGTTGTGTATTCACGATTACATACAGACAATAATTGGATAACTTAAACTGTGTTTATCTTAATCTCATTATCACAACATTCGTAGAAAGTTCTCTTGTAAAATTTAGATTTAATCTTAATAGAATAAAAATATTTGTTTCATTAATATTGTATGGTTAACACTAATTACTTAAAAATGCAACAAAGTCATATGCTGGAGGTAATTAAATGTTAGGATAGAGTAACTTTCATTAATTTATTAATAATTAAAGCCATAAATACAAAATGTAATTAGTTAGAGTCAATTTATTGTGAATTTAAGCGTAATAACTTCTATAATAAAATTCATTAAAGAGTGAGTATCTATAGAAACAAAAAATATCTTGAGAAATAAATATCTTAGGAGATGGAGGACATATTAGTAATTGTATCAGCTGTCAACTTGGATAAAGAGGATAACGGAGGTAAACCTTAACGGCGGAACTGGATGAAGATACTACTACTTTACTTACTCTATGTGACTATGTGTGAGATACTGCCATAACACCTGATCACATCCAACTGAGAACAAAGTCTGAACAGTGAATCCGATTTGTGACCCCAAAAAAACACTCCAAAAAAAAAATATCTAAATCCAAACAAAGAGAGAAGCACAGTGAAGGGCAGTGGAAGAAGAAGTTGTAGGAAAAGAATCTCTTATCTTCTTCTTCTCTTCTTTTGCAATAAATTCACCAATATTATTCATTTATTTTCCTTTCTCTTTCTCACACCTTCTCTTCTTCCCCCGTTATCCTGTCCTCTCTGTCGGTCATTCGGTCATTTCCTCTTCCTTTACAACTATTCCACCCCCATTCCCTCCATCCCTTGTTTATATACACCATGTTATAGCTATTAGTTCAAACAATCTTACTCCGATCCTTCGGAATTTTTCTGGGTTTTGACAGATTTATTGGAAAGTTGTAGTCTTTGGTTGTGATCACTGAGAAAAACTTCTGGGGATTTGGTCAAAGGGAGCTTTTGCTTGCTTCTTGATTGTAATAAGATCAGGAGCTTCTGTTTTAGAAGACCTCTTTTGTTTTGTTTGAGACCCAATTACAGTAAGGTGCTTAAAGTTAAAGTTACGTTTTGTCCTTATTTGTTTTCGGTTTTTTAAGTTTATTTGAGTTGTGAATGACTGCTAGTTTTTACTTGTTTTGGGATCAAGTTTATCTGAGGTGTTGTTTCTGTGGCTTTCTTGAGAATTGAGTGGGTTTTCAATTTGATTTGATTGTTTGATCATTGATGGAGTTAACTATTTGTATGATCTTGATGTCTCTTGAATTGTAAGTGCAATCGCCAGCTCGATTTGGATGGATTTTGATTGGATTCCTGATATAGATTTGAATTAACTATGTGGTTTACTGCTTGAGAGTGGTGGAGATGAGTGAGACACACTGTTGAAATGATTGCAATGCTTCTTTACTCTGTGACCAAAATATGAAGATGCGAACATCTAAATTTTTCCTCAAAGAGTCTGTATGGTTGTGGGAGATGCTTTTTCTGTAAAAGAGAAGAATTACAAGGAAAAAACCCTCCAATGCTTTTATCACTTCTAATTAAATATCAGTTTTTTTTTTTTGGTAGTTATCACTATTTACTTGTACACATATTTGGAAAGATTTGTCTCTCTACTTTAATTAATTCAGAGGAAGGTCGTTAACTGGTGGTATTCTAAGTTGATTGTTTTTTCTTGGAGATTTAAAGCCCACATTTAGATAATTTAATGTAATAAGTTGCTGAGAATTTCTTAGTTGTACATTGATGCAGTTGAGTGGTTTGACCTTCAAATGTACTATCACACATTTTTCCACTGTGGAATTGTTTCCTTCGTATGCTCTTCATTGATAAATGATTGTTTGTTTCAATTGGTTCTGTGTCTTTGCCTATCGTAATTTGTTTATGTCTTTATCCATTTTATAGAAGCAGATATGGGATCTTTGCAAGGACCTGTGATTTGTCCTGTCGTTCGTGCAAAACAAAGTGGAGGTTACGCTGTCCCTCTCCGTACTAAGGCTAGGTTAGGTCAAAGTTCATTCTGGGGTGTGAAAGCAATTAATAATGGAGCTAGTGTGCCTAGTCAGCGTGTTCGGGCAAAAAATGTAATTAGGTGTACCTTCAGTTCATCATCAAACGGCAATGGTAGCATGGCAGGAAATTTCAATGAGAATGATGCAGATTATGTCAATTCAAGCGTCTTAGAAGCAGGTATATTTTCTTGCGGGGTTTTCGTTGATTGTTTTACCTTTCATGTCTTTTTATCTGATTACAGTCTTTGTATTTTACTTCTTTGAGTCTCATCGAGAGTTTGAGGAAGAGCTGTTCCATTTTTTTAGGACTAATAATCCTGCTCATTTTGCTCTAAAAATTGATATCTAAAGCTCCTAGTAATCGTCTTTTATATTTTATTTTATATATCTATATGTATGTATCTGTATGTTGGAATATGTTACTCAAAAAAGCACAAATGGCCTTGCTGTTTTCCCTTTCTCTCAGAAGAATTAGTATCATGACTCATTGATTGAGGCGTGACTTGTAACTGGTGTAGGTAACTGGTTATAAAGTGGTTTTGTTAATAATGTGCATGATATAGCATTAATGAGATGTAAGTTGTGTTGATAGTTCTAAGTTGAAACTCTTTGCTGCAGTTGAGGTGCGGAGTGGCCCTGATGGTTATTTCATGGTCAAGATGAGGGATGGTCGGCATGTGAGATGTGTCCACAACAACCCTCAGAGTGGACATCTTCCTGATTATGCTCCACATCCTGCAATTGTGCTTAAGATGGAAGATGGGACTGGTCTTCTTCTTCCTATCATTGTTTGTAAGTCTCCTTGAAAATTCTATCATTCTTCAGTGCATCAGCTTTTGTGAAACTCTAGTGATGTTCTTGGGAGTTTCTCATTTTTACTGTCAATTTGACTTTGTTCCAGTGGAGATGCCCAGTGTGCTCCTCATGGCAGCTATGCGCAATGTTCAAATTGTGAGTGACCTCCTATAGATTGTGAATTCTTAAATGTGAAACTGGTAGCTTTTGGATAACAAGATAGTTTCCTTTTCAGGCTAGACCAACAATGTATCAAGTGGTGAAGGAAATGGTTGACAAGATGGGCTACTCTGTAAGTTTTTTTTTTGGTTAAGGAATTTTTTCCTGGTAATAAACTATTTTGTAAGTTTGGAATATCTGTGTGCATGAATTTGTGGCTGCCATATGTGACTGGGTTTGTCTCTCCCGCTTTCTAGTTATGTTGTGATTCTTTCCATTACAGGTGAAACTTGTAAGAGTGACTAAGAGGGTCCATGAAGCATATTTTGCTCAGCTGTACCTTACAAAGGTACCATTTTCACAATCTTTATCTGGTGAAACTGTTAGTTTTCTTCAATTGATTGGCCAACTTACGATTGTGATTGATATCAGGGTGATGAAACTGAAAATATCAGCTTTGACCTTCGACCATCTGATGCAATTAACATTGCTGTGAGATGCAAGGTAACTAAAGTGAAATTGCGACATGGTTATCTTGTTACCATTTTAACATTATGGGCAGAGGTCCGAAAAGTATATGGTTTACAAACCTGGGCCATATAACTTATATCATGTTATTGTAGTAATTATTTAGGATTGACTTGAAGGAACTACCAGAAACCGGTTGGTCCAGTTATTATTTATTTATTTTTTATGCCAACATTTTCATGTCCATCCTGAACTAATTTGAAATATTGCACCCTTGTAGGTACCAATACAAGTCAACAAATACTTGGCACATAGTGATGGCATGAAGATGATCGAACCTGCAAAGCCCTCAGTACAGACATCCTCTTCTGATGGCTTGTTGTTTACTGAACTGGACAGGTAAACTTCTTTTTCTGGGCAGTTAAACTTATGGTTGTAGTCGGACCTTTCTGCAACAAGCTCCAGTAGAATTTGTCAGCTTTTATTTGACAATATGGCTTGCGTTATTATCGCTTCTTGTTGTGTTTGATAACTGGGTCTGGTCAGGCTGTGTGACCCATGGAGGAAAGTCACGGAACTGTTCTCATGGAATGTTTCGTTATTCCTTCCAACAGAAACAGAAGGTAACAACTTTTGTCATCTGATTTCAGGCCTTCTAGCCAACCATGCATTGAAACAACGGAGTTCAATCTTATTCGGAACATGATGGTCGCTGCATTTGAGGAACGCTACCATGATGCAGGTATATCAATCTTCTGAACCTGAAACGTAGTTGATATGGTGACCTGAGTTGTTCTTTGGCTGATATCTCAGGAACTTCTTCCTTCTCTTCTTTTGTACGTATCATTTAAGTAGTTATTAAGGAAGCTAACTTTGATGTTTAAAGATGGTAAATTCTTAACTGGGAAGGTCTGAACTTGAGGCTTCTTCCCACTTATCTCTTAAAGGCAATTTCAATCTTAAGTGTTGTCCTTTTCCTTTTTTTAAAAAAAATTTTAATTTTATTTATTTATTTATTTTTAAATTTTCTTTCTTGGCTACATGTCTTTTTAAGCCCTCTTTGTAACTGTCAATCTATTTGGTTTTCCAAAAGTATTAAGTTCATGCTCCTTTGGTCTGCTTCAGCTGTGTGGCGGGACAAGCTCACTCAGCTTCGTTCAAAGAGGAATTGGACATAGAGGTATCGTACTGATCCTATCTTTTTACCGTTATGGTCCCTTGGTTCACCCTTTATGTCGCTGGTGATGCGAATTTAATAACCTGAATTGTTGCTCAGGTGCTTTCGAAGAATGAAGCATGTAAATAGAGCCCCATTCTATCAGAAGTTGAAGGAATTGGCATCTTTTGGAATTGATTCGACGCCTATCTTCAAATATATATTATATGGATAGATGTATCTAGGTTGTGAATATGTATGTGTATAGGTTAAACTCTAGTTGCAATGATGAACTTGGCTCATTGCGATGTCTTCATGGGTACCATTTCCTGCATTTCTGCTGTATTCTCAACAGCTAACTTTCTAAGAAAACAAGAAATTAATCTCAAAATCTTTTTTTTAGCTTGAAGTTATACGTGCATGTTTTAAGAAATAAGTATTGCAGATTGAATGAATATGCAGTATCAACATGGAAACTAGTAGGTTTTTTTTTTTTTTTTTTTTTGCTTTTTCCCCGGTTGTTATGTCTGGGCACCCAGTTTTTCCCCTTCTTTTGGTGTTTGCAATTCTTGAAATGAAGGGTATTCATCCTTCGTATCAATCGTCACTGTCCTTCAAGATTGTGTTGATTTAAGCCTATTATTTTAGTTCACCATCAATGCATCACATACCAAATCAGTATAGTTTAACTGCAGTTGCAATATGGGTTCTAGTGTGCGATAATGATTAGCAGGTACATAGTGATTTACAGAGGTCAGAAGAAAAGATGAAATACAGTGGTATCTGGAGAAACACTATACTGTATATATATTCCATATGGGGAAAGGCATCATTATAATGTGTTAGAGATGAAAAACAGCATATTCTAGGCCTAGCAGGATTCCCGTCTTTTCATCCAACACAAGTTAATCCTCTCCCGCACGCATAGCATAATCATTCGAAAAGTTTGCCACATTTTTCATAACTCAGTATTTTATTAGGCAGTTTTTAATTCGTCAAGTGGGTATCTTAGCCTCATTATATCAGTTTATTATCATTCCCATCTGGATGATTTAAAGCACTTGAGTTACTTGTTTCACATAAATAGTGTCTCTTGTCCTGTGGATTACAAAATTAGGATAAAACTCAATTGTTTTCGTCTTCGATTGTACTTGATCTTATGCACTAAAAAAATGCAATCCCACCATCTTTTTTTTTTGTTTTGGCTACACATGATACATAAGTTGAACCATACAAATTGGAATTGTAGTACTTCAGGAAGAATATTCCCGCCATACAAATAACAGGCGTCGCAATCACGGTACCGCATGGGGCTGTATACAGTTGCCTACCTACAGGAAAGAGGAGCCACTCATGGAACAGTATAAGAGTCTCTGGAGAGACCTGACTCTAGAAGAACCCCATTTCTAGATTAAACCATTTATCTGTAATTGGTTGCATTGCACGGGATAGTTTGCAATTTGATTGGATTGCATGCTAGCTTTGAAATTGAGTTTGTCCCAGAAAACATGTGATTCATTTCCCTGAGAATTGGTGAGTACTGAGTTGTGGATGCTTATTTTATTTCTTACTTTGTTGTGGTTGGGCTTTTTGGTTTATGCTTGCTCTCTAGACATGGCAGTTTTTCAGACAATTTTAGGTGCTTCTGTACCATATTATGGTCACAGTAAGTAAGGTTAGAAATTTCATTGTTTGTTTTATTGTCTAGGTGTATTTTAACTTCATTCAACAGACAGAGTCACATGTCTCACAAAGTTCTCAAGATCAAGATTGAATTTTTCATTCAAGTTGCCACAGTTTCTGAATGTTTGGAATTTTGTGTTCCGTCAGTACTACTAAATGTTTAATCAGTAGACACGCAATACAAATTTTGTTAGTTTTAACATGCTGGGAATTGGGTTCAGATTTAGCAGGGAAAAGAAGAAGAAAGACTACATCATGTCCAGAATGGTTTCGAGCTCTCTTGGAGATACAGACAAGGAAGATTGCAACGCTTGTATGCCTTTTATTGTAGATGTAAGGGATTTTGAGGAGCAAATGGCTGTAAACAAGTTTCGGCGTGTTTTGAGCGTGGATAACTTGCTGCCTTCAAAGCATGATAATTATCACACTATGCTCAGGTAAAGTTTCACAGCTGCAGAGATTTTGTGTGTATCGACTGCATGTGCAAGAGGTATATATTTCCCTTGGCTGATTTTCCGCTTATGCCTCTCCGTCGAACAATCATTTCAGGTTTCTGAAAGCCAGGAAGTTTAACATTGAGAAAGCAAAATCTATGTGGGCCGACATGCTTAAATGGAGGAAAGATTTTGGTGCTGACACAATCTTGGAGGTAGTCTCAATCTGTTGCTGCTATTTTTAATGGTTACTAGTTTTAAAATATGTATCTAGCCTTTAAATATAACCTGTCAACCAAGCAGACATTTTGTTTTTCTGATTCAACAAAGAGGACTATTTTTATGGGAGGGATGGATCCACATTTGGCCTTCATATCAAGATCACATGAACAGACTTTCATCCAAGTCAAACAACAGAAATGCCCCTTCTAATTTAATCACCTCTGCAGGCATGATTTCAGTACCTTAGATGGAATATGCTGCTAATCAATGAGAAATTTGAATTGTAGCGTAATATGATTCACAAAGTAAAATACAAATGATCTAGAGTCTGCATCATTCTACCGACTATCTTCCCATATTTAGACTGTACTTCTTGTTATTTCTCTGATTGACAACCAATTGTGCTTCGTGATATATAGGATTTTCAATTTGGGGAGATCGATGAAGTTCTGCAACACTACCCTCAGGGTTATCATGGTGTAGACAAGGAAGGAAGACCGATCTATATAGAAAGATTGGGACAAGTGGACATGAACAAGCTTATGCAAGTAACTACAGAAGACAGGTACATAAGATATCATGTTCAAGAATTCGAGAAATCTGTTTCCATAAGGCTGCCTGCTTGCTCGATAGCTGCCAAGAGACATGTGGAGGGAAGTATGTCAATTTTGGATGTTCAAGGAGTGGTATTCTTCTTTCACCTACCTTTGTATATCATTCACATAAACCTCTTTGAAGCTGTGTGCTGTGATTAAGGCTTTTTCTCTTTTTGTTATCTTTTGTGCCGACATTTGAAGAGCATGAAGAATTTGATCAAACCTGCAAGGGATGTCATTTTCAGGCTGTTGAAGATCGATAAGGACAATTATCCAGAAGTATGTATTTGCTTAACTGAAGGACTGTATTCGAATGCTCTTAGCCAAAACTTGAATCCGAATGGCTAATTAATATTTTTGGATTGCAGACACTTCATCGGATGTTGATCGTTAATGCTGGTCCTGCCTTTAGGCTGGTGTGGAATGCTATAAGGCCATTTCTTGACCCTAAAACCGCTTCTAAGATCAATGTATGTTCAAAATTTCTTACACTGCAACAAACTCATAACATACAACTTATGGCTTGCGCCAAATCTGATCATCAACCTTTTTCATCTTAACCAAAGGTTCTTGGCACCAATTATCACAGTAAACTGCTTGAGATTGTTGATGACAGGTGATTGTACATATAGTGACTCCTGCTTTATGCACTCATTTTCACCTCAAGTACTAATTGAAGCTGATCAATGTGGTGAATTTTATAGTGAATTACCAGATTTCCTAGGCGGAAGCTGCACCTGCTCAAAGGAAGGAGGGTGTTTGAGATCAGATAAAGGACCATGGAAGGATTCAAATATATTACAGGTGAGAAAATAAGCCAAGAAGCATGATCCAACATTTCATATTTCCACAAGTTAACAAAAAAAAAAAACTTTCAACCGCGTCTGTTACATATACAGATGGTCCAAAGCGGCGATTTCCAGGGTTTAATTCAAACATCAGTTTCAAATTGCCAGGAAAAGCATGATGACGGCGATCAGCAACAACATATGGTAACTTTAGTTTCACCCTTGGCTTCATCAGTTCATCTATCAGAATTTCATCTTGGTTTTTGGGGTTCATATGAGGTTGTAATTGGTGGACAGATAAGATATATCGGTACTGAATCAAAAAGCAACTCAGAATCTGGTGATGAAGATGTTGTATCATCAGCACTAATGTATGCAGAGTTGATGAAAACTCCTGTCTGTGAAGAAGTTAGAAGCTGAATGTATTAAAGCTACATCATTCAACATTCTTCTAATCCTTGTATCATTTTACTGTTTCATTCTATACTGTGGAGTATTCTCCAGAAAGACATTACCGATTTTCATCAACAAAAATCATTAATACCAAATCTGGATAAATGTGGTCAGTCAAACCGCTAATGTAATACTTCATCTATTTCATAAAAATAGTTCCTATCGAATTTGGGAATTTGTACTAAAATTAGTACAAATTCTAAAACTCAATCTTGATTATTTTTTTTTTGGGACGGAGGGAGTATTCAAAAACAAAAATCTCTGGTACAAAAAAGTAAAAATGACTAGTCTTTTTATTCCATATATCATTTGGGTGTAACTCAATACAAGATTAGCTGCCAGAGCAAATTATGACAAATCTTCCTTATTTAACCTTATTTTAGTCAATCATTATTTATGACTCCCACACTCTCCTTCGTCTGTTTCCATGAAAATGACCATGTTCTACCACCAACCAAAAAACCACTGCACTATCTCTTCAAACCTATTTCTTCCCTTTTTGGTGCGCCTATCTCTTCGTTCCTATCCCCCTCAATCTTCCAAATTTCGAAGACTTTCACAGCAATTTTTCGAGCCTTGTTTTTCAATCAGACTTGCTTATCGCAAAATTCAATGCGTATTTGGGTTTGGTTTTATACCTTAATTCGACCATGGTTATGGGATTTGACTCAAATTTCATTGACAATGGAAAGAGGATCCTTGAACATTGGTTTGTAAAACTAAATTGTCTTTTGATAATGATATGACAGGTTTAAAGGAAATATTGAGCTTTTCTTATTGATTTGGTGAGTGGAAATCATGACGAAAATAAATTGATAACAATCGAAACCTTAGGTGATAGTACAATAAGACCGTGGTTTCCATTGAAACAGACGCAGGGAACCACCATGGAGAGGGGGTAAAATTAGGGATGGAGTAAACAAGGGTAAATTAGGAAAATTACTCAAAATTTGCTCTGACAGCTAATTTTTGTGCTGGCAATATAATAAAATAAAAAACATTGCTTTAAAGTCTATATGAAAGTTTGAAATGATGTAAATTCCCCAAAATGTAGAATCAAAACACCAGAGTAGTTTTAGAATCCTCTTTTGAATCTTTAGATTCCATTGGACCAATTTTGAATCCTCTCTGAGTGGAATTTGCGATTCTGTATGGGTCGTATGTGAAGTGTTTGTTCTTATGCCCTCTGTATAATCACTCAAAATGATTTGTAACGTAAATAAGGAGGGAGAAAGGACAAAAAAACATATATATATGGGAAGGGGGTATAAATGGAAAGACAGTTCCTAGCAGAAAAGCGCGGGTAATGAAAAATAACACCATCGTTTCAAAGAAAAGCGGCGTCGTTACGCAGCTCCCTTGCTTCTCCACGCAGTAGGACTCGAGAAGATAACACAAGCATCCAGAGAACGAAGAAATTCATACCAAGAAGCTCGGCGCTTGTTCGATTCTTTCCATTCCCATGGAAATTCGAGGTTTCTATTCATATGTTTGCTTTATGTTGTTTTTTTAATTCAACTTAGGGTTCTTTCCAATTAGGCTTACGAATCCCCCCGAAAAAGGATTGTAAAAATGTTCTTTGGCTTGTTTGTTAGGGTTCTTTTAAGTTAAACTGTTTTTGGTGCATTTTCTTGTTCCCCATCTCGCAAATTGGAACCTGGAATGCATATTTCTGGAGGTCTAGATGTCCAAACAAAAACAAATTTCTAGATTATATAAAATTTTATTAATCGTTTTTCCTCTACAAAATTACATTGATTTTGGGATTTTTCCATTTCACCTGTTATGTTAATGTGGGATTGAGTTTGGGATTTGTTTGCCCTACAGGTGTACTGAGTTAGATGTGAAGAGTGATATTTGTTCCAAGTGAATACATAATTTGTGGGATTATCGGCTTAATCTATATCTTTCCAGCTATCGCCGTCCATGAGGGTTTTGCCATCTATCCAGTTTATTATTGCTAGATCTAACAGAAAGGAAAGGTCTCAGCTTCTCCTTTTTCAACTTTTATACTCCTTTAGCATTAGGTTTATAGACCTTTCAACTTCTGCTTTTACTTTGGAGTTCTATTTACTTGTGTTTACCAGGTTATATCATTTAGTGGTATTATGCCTTTTTTACTTATCTTTATGTTTTATTATGTCACTCCTTTAACTCTCCATTAGTCTTGTATAAAGAGTGTTGCATTCTTGTTGTTTTCAGGTTATAACTACAGCTAATTGGAGTAACTGCTTTAGCTCAGGGCCCACGATCACAACTCTAAGACATTTTCTCGTGCCTAAGTTGTTTTCAAGGCAAATTATAGCTAGAAGCTTTTCCGTCATGAGTGGAGGTGATCCTATTGGCGTTTCTGGTTGTGACGCACCTGCAAAGCCTCCATCTTTGAGGTCTTATCAAGTTGTGGTGGCCGCAACTCGTGATTTGGGCATTGGAAAGGATGGCGAATTGCCCTGGAGGTTGCCGTCTGATCTTAAATTTTTCAAGGAGATAACGACAGCGACTTCGGATGCTGCGAAGAAAAATGCTGTTGTGATGGGAAGGAAAACTTGGGAAAGTATTCCTCCTAAATTTCGACCTCTGCCTGGTCGTCTTAACATCGTGCTGACTCGATCGGGGAAATTCGTTCCTGCTGATAATGAAAATGTGATTTCTTGTGGGAGCATTTCATCTGCTTTAGAGTTGCTTGCTGCATCTCCATTTTGTTCTTCAATAGAGAGGGTGTTCATCATTGGGGGTGGAGAAATATTCAAGTGAGGATTCAATTTTTCTCTTTTGCAACTCTTTATGTAAAAAAGATAATTAATTGCTCATACTTTTGGTACAGGGAAGTATTTAATGCACCGGAATGTGAAGCCATTCACATGACCGAAATTGAGGCTAGCATTACGTGTGATACTTTTGTTCCTCCGGTTGATGTTTCAATATTCCGGCCATGGTATTCTTCCCTACCTATGGTGGAAAACAATGTCGGCTTTCGTTTTGTCACTTATGTTCGCACGGTGATGTCTGTACCTGAAACTGTTGACTCACATCAGCTGGTGCATTCTAATGGAAGATCTGTTCCAAGGAGGCCTAACATTTCAAATTTCTCTTTCTTGCCAAAAGTTATCTTTGAGAAGCATGATGAGTTTAAGTATTTGAGATTGGTTCAAGACATAATTGTTAATGGAAACGACAAAGATGACCGAACTGGAACTGGTACTCTTTCAAAGTTTGGTTGTGAGGTAATGATGCCCTTTTTTTGGCTTGTTTACCTTGGCATGTCTTAGGTGAATGCTTCCCTTCTGTCATATTGGATTTTCTCACCCCAAGTCTGATTTGATGGGCACTTTTCAGATGCGGTTCGATTTGCGTAGATCGTTTCCACTCATTACTACTAAGGTATAGATTCTTGACCGACTTTAGGAGTGTTGTCAAATAAAATATCCATTTATATGTCCATGAATTAAGCAGTTTTTTTTAATTTTGTTAATGTGAGTCATATTTTAAGACATCAGTGTCTCGTAAGTCGAAAGTGTATCACTTAATCTGCTAATGTACTTTTATTATACAGAGAGTGTTCTGGAGAGGGGTGGTTGAGGAGCTTCTGTGGTTCATTAGTGGCTCCACAAATGCAAATGTAAGCATTAGCAATTTAATTATTCCTATGTTTCTTGGTGAATGTTTCAAATGCTCTGTTCTACTAATATTCACTCCATTCCAAATGCCACCCTGTTCACCATATTATTTCTTGACAAAAGAAATCACCAGGAACATATCATTTGTCTCTAACACACGAATAAACCTAATGTTCTTCAATGATGTCGGTATTGCAAATTTTGTTTATTAATTTAGTGAAATATGATCCGTTGGCTTACATCTGGGGACTGAAAAAATGTCGTACCTTTGTTATTTACTACAAATGAGATGAAATTAGCAACAAGAAATATGCGGAATTTAGGCAAATCACTCTGCTTTAGTATATTTTGAAGGAAGTGAATTTATTCATTAAGAAGTTACTGTTGATAGGTTCTGAAGGAGAAAGGGATTCATATTTGGGATGGGAACGCATCCAGGGATTATCTGGACAGGTAGCTACCAACTACAGAAGTCACCCTCGAGTTTCATCTGCTCCATCTAATGAATGACTGACATTTGTTGTCTAATTTCAGTATTGGCCTGGTAGACAGGGAGGAAGGTGATTTAGGACCAATCTATGGGTTCCAGTGGAGACATTTTGGTGCCAGGTTAGGACTTTTGTGATGATTTCTTAACAACTGTACTTCGTCCGTGAACTCCATGCGATATTCAGAAAGGACTTTTGGTTTACAGGTACACCAATATGCATGCTGACTACTCAGGACAAGGGTTTGATCAGTTATTAGATGTGATAAATAGGATAAAAAATAATCCTAATGATAGACGAATTATCCTTTCCGCTTGGAATCCTTCTGACTTGAAGTTGATGGCTTTACCACCTTGCCACATGTTTGCACAGGTTCTAGAATGACTGTTGAAAAACTCTCATGGTCTTCTTTAGTCTATTTTACCGTCTACTGCATCATCTTAATACGCCTGCATGCCCTGCAGTTCTATGTTTCCAATGGGGAGCTATCCTGTCAAATGTATCAGCGCTCTGCAGATATGGGACTTGGTGTGCCATTTAATATCGCATCTTATGCTCTGTTGACATCCATGATTGCTCATGTTTGTGGTATGTGTGTCCATTTTGGAAATAAGGGTTATGAGCATAGTTAAATGCATCAACTTTTCTGCATCAACATGAAGATTTAACATTTCTTCCAATTATTGTTTTCATTAATCAACGCAATAAGTTTACTTAGTCAAATAGTAGTAGTTTGATGATTATGTTTATGCTTGTCAACAGAACTCGTCCCTGGCGACTTCGTCCATGTGATTGGGGATGCTCATGTTTACAAAAATCACGTTATTCCCCTTCAGGAGCAGCTTCAGAAAATTCCTAGACCTTTTCCAGTAAGGATGGATTCGTATCTAAGCATCCTTCCATACACTCAGTTTCAGCTTGAATATATACTCAAGTTAGATATCTCTTGCATCTGATAATCTGATAGGCCTTTTTTCCCCCCCTTTCTAAACAGAGGTTGAAGATCAATCCACAAAAGAAGGACATAGATTCATTTGTGGCTACCGATTTTGAGCTGATAGGATACGAACCTCATCAGAAGATAGAAATGAAAATCGCTGTCTAACTTGATACTCTGCAATGAGATTCTGAAAATTTGGGCCACCATGCTTATCCGGGCCATCACTACAAAAATTCAATTTTAATTGCAATGCATTTTTTGTTTCCCCTTTAAGCTCATTCGGACTTAGACATCCAAAGCAATTAATCTACTCTGCTTTTCAGCTCTTCATTGGTTTGCTGTTTGTTCAGTCAGAAGACTCATAACCCTCAAACTTGACATGGGATCATTGTAGTTTTGATTATAATAATAACAATATTTACCGAAAAAAGGTTATAATGATAAGAATATCTATTTCCAAAAAGAAAAAAAAAAGATAAGAATAGTGATGTAGTTAACCTACACCTTGAAAATACCAACAAATAAATAATATGTGAGAGGTCAAAAGCCAAATAATTCTTCTCTTGAAACTTGAAAGTACATATTCTTCAGGTTCTGTTTTCCTTTCTTTGAAGATAGTTGACAAGAATCAGCAATGCATTATCTGCATTATCACTCTTCATAAGCTCTCCAGCAATCTCTGCAGGTGTAGCATGGACTTTGGACAACAGCTCTTTAATCTCATTGAAGAGTAGGTGCTGCTCTATTTTCAGATAGTTATAAGCTAATGTTTTGAATCCGCTGAACGTGCAGTAGCACATCTCTATGTGCACATCCATTCGACCAGGTCTCAGCAGTGCCGGATCGAGCCTATCTTTGTGGTTGGTGGTGAATACTATGATCCGCTCATCGCCACAACTCGACCACAAGCCATCAATGAAGTTTAGTAATCCAGAAAGGGTAATCTACACAACAATGCAAGATAAACTTAAATTCAGAGTTACTATTCTTTATTAAACTGATTTTCAGAATGCAGGAACTATTGAACTTTTAACTAACCTTGTCATCCTCGGCCACTTCTGCCCCGGATTCCCTGTTCTGGACTCCAACATTGCAGTCAATGTCTTCCATGACAAGTATGGACTTGTTTGCTGAACCAATCAACAATCTTCTCAAATCTGAATTACACTGCACTTCCCTCAGATCCAAGTCATAAACATCAAACTTGAGATAGTTAGCCATGGCTGCAACCAAACTGGACTTCCCTGTACCAGGCGGTCCATAAAACAAATACCCACGTTTCCAAGCCTTTCCAACTCTCCTATAATAATCCTTCCTGTTAATAAATCTATCAAGATCCTCAATTAGCTCCCCCTTCATTTCTGGATCCATTGCCATTGTATCAAAAGTTGCAGGATGGTTCAATGCAACTGAACCCCAATAATCTGGCCCATTGTAATCCACTGTGTGTAGCCTGACCACCTTCAACTCTTCTTTAATCTCCTTAGCCTTCTTTAATATATAAGGCAAGTAGGTTTTCAAGACTAAATCTTTGTGCTTCTTGTGAAAGCTTAGGTCAAAGAATTTGTGCTCTGTCCTGGAGCTTCCCTTCTCCCCAATTTTAGGACTCTGATTGATGAAATCGCTCTGTAGAACCCATTTGAACTGAACCCCATTGAAGGAATCTAAGATATCCTGGTTTTTATCAACAGTGATGGAAAGTTCATGGTCTTTCTCAGGCTTGTTCACTTTGATTCTTTGGGTCAAAGGGGAGATCTTTGTGCCTAAATACACATTGGCTGCCTCAAACATGTGGTTTGAAGTGAGCCCTTCAAATTCCTCAATCACAACAGTTAGTTGGGACGACAAACGGCTGGAGATTCTCCGAAAACGTGAAGAAAAGTAGTTTTGAAACTGGTCCGGAATGAGGTCGTTGATGGATCTGACTAGAACAATTGCGGTGGTGATTGTGGCGGCGGCTGATAAAATAGCAGTGGAGGTTGAAGATGACTGATGATCAGTCGAAAACCACACCATTTTTTCCCGTTCTGTTGCAGAATTTCTCGACGTTTTCCGGTATGTTTATACTGTAACCGACTTTTCGTGCGTTTATGTGGAAAAGGGATTACTTGAACGGAGAGAAACTTCCGGAGCGGGGGAGGTGGGGGATCTGAGAAGTTAAAATCCGCCGCCAATGTGGCGGTTTAATTTTGAGCCTAAACATCATTAGGCCTACTTTTTGGCCCAATGCAATTCAATATTGGGCATCTTATGATCCTTTATTAATTACAAAAGATATTCATCCCTCAATAATGATTGTAGACTTGTGAGTTGTGACTAAGCACAGTACATTCATTCATCTGTTACCCTATGTTTGATATTCGAATGTCGCTTTGTCACAGTTTTTGTTATCAAATGTAAAGGAAATAACAAGTGATATTAGCTTAGCTTTCGTGATTTTGATTTTTGTTTTTCCAGTGTTAGGGCCCAAATGCTATTAGATAGATGCCATTCTCCCATTATCTTTGTAGGCCAATTGATACAAAAGGGTCAAATCTTGATTGTTATTTATTTGGTTGGAGAAGGGGAAACATTTCATACCTTCCCTGTATACATGATGCAATTCACAGTTCTTTCATGCACTGCTATCTCTTTTCCTGGAAAAATGCTTCATAATGATTGCTACAAAACTACTACTTCAAAAAATTGGACAGATGTATTTAATTATCTAATGGGAGTATGGGAGTAGAAGATCAGAATGACATTGAAAAGTGACTAAAAGACCAACAAACTTCAACAACCACAGTAAGAATCAGGACGACAAGCTCAACCAACAGCCGCCTCTACCGTAGCAGAAACAAGATCAATAGCACAAATCATAATTATCTGAGACTAGAATATGGCTGTTCAAACATTATTAGCCGGAAAGGCACTTAACATCACTGCAAATGTTCACTGCAGTGCAGACCCTTAAAAGGACAGACAATTACAATAATGTAACATGCCAGATGATGTTTGTAACATATAAGAATGTACCAACTCATAAAGAATATGCATACATGGTACCAAGGATATTATTAGTTTTCCCTTGAAAGAAGGCCGCAGATTTATTTTGTTTTCTGATGCAGTCACAAAATGTTGCAGGGTTTGACATGATAATCTTCGGTGAAGGTGTACCAAACATCGCATCTTTGACACGTTCTCGGCAGAGAAGGAATGTTGGATTCCTTCTTATCATCCTTCTTGTCATCTTTCTTATCGTCCTTCTTGTCATCCTTCTTTTCATCCTGCTTTGCAGGACCAATGCTTGCTATTTGAGCACTTCTTCTAAACTTCCTGACCTGTTTTATAATGGATACGGGATCAGCTTCCCCGATTACTGTCACTGAACTTTTTGCGGGGTCAAGGACGATGGAAGTTATTCCTTCCAGCTTTGATATTAATTTCATCACCTTCATTCTGCACTTTGAACAGAGAAGATCCACTGACACAACTGTTTTCTGCAATGAAAAGAGAGGGAATCAGTTTAGAATTCAAAGTACTTAGTTTTTTTGAACTTAGTCAGAGGAAACATTCTCTGCCCACATCAGAAAAATATAGGAAATGGTACGTACTTCAGTCTGCAGTGTGTCAGGTTAACAGGCAAATAGTATTCAAAGTACTGACACACATTTAGTACATTCATGGCTAAAAAGGAAACCATATGAAATTTTTAAAGCTAAAATAAGAAAACCTTGGAGATCAGTGGCATGTTATCAAATGCAAAGACTTGTGTGCTTTATAGTTCTGAAGTAATCCACAAGTGCTAGTGATAGACTATCTCATGAGCCAAGTTAATATGGATATTTTGGATATTTTTCCCCCTTAATATCTGAATTCTTGAAGGGTTCGTCCAAACAAGTCTGGTACCCATTGAGTAAATGGACTGACATTGTCAGTTGGTGAATGGAAGTAAATGCTAAGTCAGGAAGTTTAATTAGAGGGGTTAACCTTTCCATAGGAACCCTTCACATTTAATGAGTCCCTCCCTCTATCGTTCTCAGCCTCCATGGCGTTGTTGCACAGTTTTGGAGTCATTCAAACTTCAACGTTAATGTTTCTTTACTCTTGCTGCGTGTAGTCCGTATTACAAATGGTAGACGATCTGATAAAGGAAAGGAACGAAGATTACCTACTCCAGAGAAAAGTGCTCTTCAAAACCAGGAATTCACTGTTAAAACTTCATCACAATCAAGCTCCGTAATAGATGATATTCCATCCGTCCCTGAAAAAATAGTCTACAGTTAGTTTTGAGATTTCTTGCATTTTAGCGAAAAAAAAAAAATTCAAAACTCAATGTAGACTTTTTTTTTTCTTAGAAAGAGATAGTAAAACAGAAACAGATTCAACTTGTTCCAAGGGATTCAGTCCTGCTTAAGTAAGTCGATATTTAAGTATATCCTTCAAATTACTGGACGACAAACACCCTTCAAATTTCTAGTTCCTAACATAATAATCACGTCACTTTTCAGCTGCTTCAACAATTAAGCAGCTGGAAATGATGAACATCAACTGCAAGCCTTACATGTTGGCCATGCAAACGCAGGGAAGAGTTGGAGGGTGAGTTCCAGTAAACAGCACATAGACATCCATCGATGTATAACAAACTAGGCCAGTAAGCCTAGCATTGATGTATAACAAACTAGACCAGTAAGTCTAGCGTACTATATGTGTTTCTGTAAAGAACTTTCTGATGATTTTATACATAGATTTCATCACCAGCAAAATTTCGCATTTATTCCAAACCAGGTCCTAGACAACATTGTTGCGCATGGCAGCACGCCTATGGCCACTCAATTGAGTTTTTTCATCCAAGGGTTCTCGTGTGTTCTACTTGAGATTGTAGATTTCAAAAAGTTTTGACATCCAGGAATTCAGTATGTTACAAATGATATATTACAACAACATATGAAGTTTACCTTCAACTTCTCGGACACAAACAAAATTACACTAAGGAACTACAGATCTACATCTATATTCACTGATTAAATGTTAGTCAACAGACGATGAATCCAACCATCTTGAATATCCAGCATAACACATCAAATGACTTCCTCATCCAGCTGGGAGAGTAAATAGCTCATGTGGGCTTGGGATGGCATTGCACAAAGTAGTTGGTATATCACTTTCTTTGTGGGGGAAAGACTTTTTGAAATGTCTCTTTCTGTTAAAATCTTCGAGCAACCTCTTTATCGATGTAAAACTGGAAAAATAATTTCAACAAGTCAACATGACAAGCACATGATAGACATTCATCCATAGTTTAAGACAGAGAGCAAAAGGAACACAACAATGCATCACATTCTTGTCTTTAAGAGAAATGCAGCAAGCTTTTACTTAAGGCCTGCTTTCTAGAATGCTTTAGTCTTGCTTGAGCAATTCCCTAATCTAACTGAATAATAAGAAATTCAGACTACTTTGCTTTGGTACTATACTCAAATAACGCTCAAACTTCAATACTATAAGTTTTTAACCCAAAAATCAAGCAAAACTAGTGTGCATAGTATGAGGATATGAGCAACAAAGCAGGTAAACCAATCAATGAACTTCACAATGATCCCAAATATAGGGACTCTAAGAATGACTTCATGAACAAAACATGTGATGAGCAATGTTTTTTAAAAAAAGGCAAACAAGAATGCATAAAGCGAACATATACCTGCAATCCCCATGAGTAGCCCCCTAATTTGCACAATATTCATCCGATTTTGGCAATTCTCCATTGGTTGCCATATGTGCAAGCTGAGACTCTGTGTCTACCATCTGAAGATAGAATCTGACAATCTGCTGGTCTAATTCATAATAATACTCCATCTTTCGTAAAGGCTTCATATCTAAGTCAATAAAAGATATCTGGACAAAATGAAATAGTATGAGATATATATCCAGGAACTCGAATGATGCAATCAAAGTCATGTTTCGTGAAATTAAGGAAATACAAATTTAATTTATTTAGCAGTATTCAGGATATTGCCCAAGCAATACACTGTTGACAAAGCATAATGTAGAGCTTTTGAAAATTAATATTAGAATAATAGCAGAGCCAGGAGATTCCGAAGTGAAATACGGAGAAACGGTTAAAATGGCAACCCAAAACGATTAGAACCTGGAAACTTACTCAATGAAACTATAAATCAGAAAAATCAAACTGCATGTCTCCCTAAAAATGGATTTCAACTATGCAGAAGAAATATCGATAAGGTGATAGTTGACAGATGTAAATGACATTTCCTATTAGAATAGGCAGAAAATAATGAATGAGAAGACGTCCAAAGTAAAGAAAAAGGGCCTACCTTGTAATCAAAATTTTGCTTTGTTGATTTTAAAAAGGTAACGTCATATGAAGACTCCACGTACTTCTCTTCTCTCGGTCGGAAACTAAGCATCATGCTTAAATCTTTTGCTGTTGCAGCTATCAGGTACCCTCTCACAAGCCTCAAGCTTTCCTCGAATGGAAGTGAATGCAAAGAGGCAAATCTTTCTGAGATTTTACAATCATCTGCACTTCGACATACCATACAGGGCCGAGAAACGACATCATAATATGCATGAATCACCCCTTCAACATCTATTTCATCAAGCTTCTGGACTTTAAGAAGCTGATCCAATGACCCTGATGCAAACAGTGCCTCACTGACAAGCTTTAGGAAATTCTCTGTACGCATCCCATCTTCCGCCGAAATGAGATCCTTGAGTGAATCTTCAAAGTCTTGGCCAACTACGGAACTAGTACTTTTAGCAACACCACCCAACCCACCAAATATGAGTGAACCATTCAAGAAGACCCTAAAATTATTCTGGGGAGTTCTATAAAGTGCCTTGATTGCTTTGTACACTCTCTCTTTAGATCCAGAGAACAAATCCAATGGATCGTATTCACTAATTTCGGATATCTGACACATCAAAGGAAAAAAGATGATGTTAATAGGCAATTTCTCTTGACTCATGGAGACAATAAGTTGTGAAACTAAGCCTACAATCTTCTGGAAAGCCTCATAGGATGACAATATATAAAGCAAAAGATAACGAGAATAAGAAACAGAAGGAACTTAACATCGCTCAAGAGAACTGATAAATCTCCATTTATGGGCCTCATTAAAAGAGTAGTAAATTTGAATTTCTGATTTTTGTAACACGGATAAGAGTTTCATCATACGTTTCATAGAGTAACAAAATAGATACACAATTATGAAAATCAATAGACAAGAAAATCCCTAGATTCAGAAATCACAGAAAACTTCCATTCACCATCGGAACTAGCAAAGCAACCAACTTTAATATAACTTTAAGACATATCAGGACTGGAATAGCAAACGAATGAAATACTACCTTGCTTTCATGCAATTTCAGAACTTGGTGCATCTTGAAACGAGTTACACTTTTCTTAATGGCATTTATTTGAGAAATGTATTTTGAAGTCGGAAGAAATCCACATTTTGGCTGCACCACATGACCAGGTTGGTATCACGCAAAAAGAAAAAAAATATATTAAAAAAAACAAAAAAAAGGAACTACATTGAAATTAGAATACAAAATTAATTAACAGGAAATAACCTTAATCTCCACACACAAGCTAAATTCTTCTTTAATGGTACCTGAGAAAGATAATACATATTTATAATACTAGCAAATTACGAAGCAAATAAAACCACAAAAACAGATGGAGGAGAAGAAGAAACTATAATCAATAAAAGCTATTCCAATCTGAAAACAGTAAATTGTGGAAACAATTACGAGGAATTCAGCCCAACACACTAAGAATCCATACAAAGTGAATAACTTCATTGGTTGCACGAAATTCAACAAACCCCCACCCCCTGTGCTTCACACACAGACACACACACACACATACAGACACACACACACACACACACACACACACAAGCAAAAAGAAAAAGGAAACCAATTCAGTTGCAAATTTCCCTTGATATTATCAACCTGATAAACATAACTAACAGAATATATAAACAGACTATAAATCAGACAGTACAAAACATAGCTTTAAGGGTTCAGCAACTACCATGAGGAAAAACTGAATGATCAGATATCAGAAGAACAGAATCGCATAGAAGATTGACCTTCGTAGCATTGACCCGAGAAGAAGGACGCTGACTAAGAACATTGTTCTCAACAGCCTCCAGAAATTCTCTGGATACAAGGATACGCATCTGCAAACGAAGAATAAGCCAAAATTAGAAATGAGGATTGCAGATAGAAATAAAGCACTTGGGTTGAAGCTAAGAAACTATCACAAGATTAAATGCAGCTAGCACACCTACTATGAGTTGGTTCATCGAAGACAACAAAATTTACTCACATTTTTCAGATACTTTATTGCAATCCAACTGATAGCTAGAGAAAATAGACAATCCTAAGTTGAACACCTAAGAGATGCAGCAGATTACTAACTCATTATCAGCAGGCCAGATATGGGGGAACAGAAAGTTGTAATATGGTATAGCAAACACGTTCGTGGAAATTAGGAGATTAGATTTCATTATTAAAACTTATTTAACTAGAAGCAGATAGACTAGATATCATACCCCAGCATCAACATGTTTGGGGCCTAACAATGGGCACATTACATGCTCCACATAAAGTTGCTCAGCAATTTCTTTTGTAGGGGCCGATATAAGTTCTGCAGACTCTTTCCAGAGGAGACACTCGTGTGAGGTCAAAGCTGAATGAACATTCTTGCTTTTAGATCCATTAGTTGAGGTCTTCTGTATTCTTAGCACTTTCCCGACCTGTGAATAAAAATAGAACCATAGTCATTCCAAATGTCAGAGAATCCAAGGAGAGACGTTTTTGTCAGGAGACAGTTAACTTATAGAACCTTACAGAAATTTGAAACAAAACGAATCGTAATTATGTAATCAAGAAATGTCTTCAGATTAAGTTAGCTCTTCCAATTTTTTGTTTTGGGGATCGAGGCAATTTCAGCTACTACATCCCCATAATATAGCAAGACCAATCCCCAGTCTGGATAAAGCAGGCTTGTGTTAATCATACAAATGTTCAAATAACACGATAGCAAGATATGATCAATGTCAGTTTGACAGAGTTCTCAATCACCAGTTTTGTAAAAAAGAAACTTTTACTTCTTCATCATCCATGTCGCAGTCCTCATATTTTCTATCACTCACTCACAGATCGTCATTTTTCTTTGCTCACATGAATGTTCAGTGAAACTACAAGAATAATCTCTGACTCTTTGGGCCACTAAACTGTAATATTTAGCTGCTAAAAGCAACAGATACTTTGAATATCCCAGATTGGCATTAACAATGCACACCATTTACTAGGCACCCCACCCAAATTGAATAGAATAGTAAAGAACTTTCTGGCTAGACTAAGACAAGTTGATGAGCAAAGGAGGAAAGAAAAAAATCAAATGAAATGAAACTGCAGAATATAAAAACAAAAAATGCTGCACGGAGAAAGAGAGAGTTGCAGGAAGCTCACAAATCCAGGGGAGTTTCCAGCATAACCAAGAACAAGGTTCAGAGCCCCCTCCCCTCTATAAGTCCATTCAGTCGCGTCCTCCGCCTTCAAAACCACCGCCATCCACCACCGCCCTGGAAAAAAAAAACACACACACACACACACACAAACACAAAATTTTAACATCACAAGTCCGAAGGGGAAATTAAACAATTACCGCTATACATAAGACAGCAAATTGAACTTGTTCATTAATGATACATTTCACTAAATTCACCTAAAAATTGAAATGCAAGGACAACGAAGTAATATCGACAATAACTGGAATTACTTAAGGTAAACTCCCCGGAGACTGAGCGACTCTTGGCCAGTGGCGGTGGCGCCACAACAACGACGGCGAAGTCGGACTGCGTTTCCTCACCGCCAATTAATCAGAACTCTACGCCGAGAATTGCAGAAAAGACTGTAAAAACGGCGGAGGAGAGAGAGTTTTGACTTTTTGGTTTATCGTCAAAGGTATTATCATAGAGAAGTGTGCCGTTCGGAGTTTTGATCACGGAGAGAGAGATTCACCGAATAAGGTAGCGGAGGTAGTAAGTGAGCCGCCGCATCTTTGGTCAATTAATTAATTAATCAATACAACTACCAAGATCTCATCTATTTATATGTGTTACTACTTTGGATTTTTAATGAGCTCATAATTATGGACTTATAGTTTAATCAATAGTCTAAACTTTTGGAATTTTTACTTATGAAATTGTGTGAATAGCTATTTATACTACTCCCTCCATTTCAAATAAGTGTCGTTTTAGTAGAAATTTTAAAATAAGTGTGGTTTTCTGATCCCAATACATTTTTTTCCGAAAATTTCCAAACATACCTTCGAGCATTTGTTTTTTTATTAAGTTTGTTGACGATATTCTAGTAATTTAGATACTCTAATTAAGTGTTTCTTAAACTGTGTGTAAATTGTAAAATGACACTTATTTTGAAATAAATGGAGTAGCAAATTTTGTTTGAATAATAATAATGTTAATGTCTGACTGGAATAATTTAGGAACAGTAAATAGATTTCATTCGGATATTCTGATGTTAGTTAATTAGATTAAGAGTTTGTTCACTTTAGTTCAGTGGAGAATGGAGAATCGGAGAAGATGGTTGGATAAATTTAGATCAAGTGGGCTTCAGAACATGATACCTAGGAGGCTGGGAGGAGTATAGGGTACCCATGTACCAAAAGTGAAAAGAATCAGATTTACTAGTGATGCTTAACCAACTAATTGTCACTTTCAGACTTTTAAGTCCCACGTGATCTCTGAAATAGTTATTATTTCTTTTTCATTTTAGTTTATCGCATATATCATTACTCTTACCATACTAGAAAACTAGTCTAATTTATTGAATTAAAATAATACAATAAAATAGACTATTTTTTCAGGACGAAAAATAACACGTTTTACCTTGATCAACAAACATAACAATATTTTGAGACAAAGCAAATACTAATGATTAAACAATATAGCAAACACGGTAATCTATTAACGTTTGAATAATTTTGAAACCAGAGGAATATTAATAATCTTTGAACAAATGTTAGATTAAGAGTGTTGAATATGATGACACAATTAGCATTGCCACCCACTTGTCCTGTATAAGATGGATGTTAGGGACATAAAACTACAGTAATCATTTGACTGCGTTAGGAAACGATACAAAACCTGCATTGTTTCTCTGATCTGTAACGATGAAGATACAGCTCACTGCAGTACTCAGAAAAGTATCAACACAGAGCTTCAACCATTTCAACTATGAGTCCTAGGCAGTAAAATTAAGTAGCTAGACATACATTATTGCGTTCGATTAGCTTGAACCTGCTGCCATTTTCTTACATGTTCAGATCAATCAGACATAAGTTGTTGTAAACATGGCCCAACTCAGCAGATGGTCCGATAACTTCTCAAGACCTGCACCTTTAGGATAATGTTGCTGGAAGTTTTGAGAGTGCTGAGATGGTCAACTTCAAAGATGCATATATCACCTGCCTTGAGCTTGTTTGCTACAAAAAAAGCCCGCCAACCACTGCACAGCTTCTTGTTTCTTACAGATACTTCAGCTTGGTGCTCATCTGAGAGACTTGATAGTTCCACTTCCCATGCATGTCCATAAGCATTCACAAGTATGGCTTTCTTTTCCCATCTCAGTTCATCATTTGCTCTTAAAAATTCAGCTGGAAATGTCTGTCACATGAGAATGAAACTGAGAATTGACGTTGGCTGGTACACTAGTTTGCTTTTGAACAGAGAGTTTAAGGCTAACAAATCCATATCTTTTTTGCCCAAGGATAGAAAAGATTACCACATAATTGTGGTTCACATGATGTGCTTCAATAACAGCTGTGAATTCATTCTCACTGCATTTAGCGAATGCCTCTGAAATTCAACAACAAAATTACAGGCCAATCATACTTCTCATCTTGAATCACAAAGATAAATTTGAACATAGTCAATCCATTCAGAAATAAGACTTACTGCTCCGGGTTCGATGACCAGTTGGAACAATAGGTACCAAAGCCAAATTGTCAGGAAATTTCTTCTCGCAAGCAGAGCTATCAAACACATGAGTTCGGAACACCATCTGATCAGTTTCTTCAAACCAAATCATGTCGTAAACACTCAGGTCATGATGAAAGATGTAACTGGTCCAACCATCTCCAGATAAGGACAGGAGGCCATGGCAGCCGCATCTAGCTATTTTGACAGCCCACATCCCCTTGCAGCTAATTAAGATAGCCTCATCTGGAAGCTCTCCATTCAATTTCTCACAGAAGAGTGAAGGAAACTTCTGTGCATTACACACAACAAGGTGGTGATCTATAATGAAACATTTTGGAATGCTAACTAAATTATAGAGAGGTAAAAGCCTTACGAGTTCTTGTTCAAATCCGAGCCCTAATGGCTTGAAGAAGCGGTCGATGACTCGATCTTCATTCTGCAATGCAGAAAAATTTAGTCATGTCAAGCCAAGTTGATCATCTGATACTTGCTTAAATTCTAAAAGGACATTTAAAAACAATTGCAAGTATGCCGAATTCATTCTAAAGTTATATACTGCTGGATGTAGACTGAAAAAGGAAGCGCAGAACACCAATTTTCATGCACAGTTTCTACCCAAAAAGAATAAAATGTTCTGAATGAAGCATCTATCGTCTTGGTTCTCTAAGTAATTAAATAGACTACTTGAAGCAGCTTCCGATTTGTTATTCATGAGAAAATGAGAAAGGACTGAGAAACTCAGAAGAGAAGGTTAAAGAATAATGCTTATTTATGTTTCCTTCTTTGCATGGAGTAGAATTCAATAACTACGTAAAGCTAATCATCCAACCAGAAGTGAACAAGAAAGTGTGTGTGTAAGCAAGTCCTCTAAATTCTAATACTAAATTGTTGAACTCCTAAACAAATAATACCAGTTAATATTTGATCTTTTTTGCTATTTGTTGTATGACAAAAGCTACGTCTTTGGGTCACTTGGTCAGAAGTGGATAACCCAGTTCCACAAACCACATACTGGTACTTCGTAATTTATTAATTATACTCTTACAAAGAAATTATGTGATTTTGTCATCAGTAATTAGCATTTTTATAACGGTACTGACACTGAAGAAACAGAAGTTAGTATGCCGGCAATCTTGATAAATCACACTCAATTGTGAGTTCTGTTTTCAACACTCCATAGTCCATACACTCATCAGAAACAATTAGTTGTGCTATACATTAATGAACAAGGAAAACATCGGCCACATGAATTTTATAATAAATTGATAAAGCTGAAGATGCTACAAGACATTGCAAAATACAGAAACAGAGAGAAACCCCAAGGAAAAGGAATCTCACCATAGTATATGAAGCACTTTGGTTATACCTTCTGTTGAACCTTCTAAAATTAGGCAGACCAGAAACAGATAATGGGATTCCCTCGCCTTCTGTTTGGAAATAAAACTTGAGTCATGAGCAGGTCCAGGAGAAGTTTTAACTGAACCAAACTAAATGCTGGAGAAGAAAAGTAGAAGTTATATATCTGAACCTTCTTCCATCTGCTGGTTTTCATTATCGTACCCATCAAGGACTTGAAGACTTAATTCTCTTTCAGGAATGACTTCAATCATGCCCAATCGAGCGTCCTTGCTTCTTTTCTTTGAATTAGAACCAGAGAACCCTCTTAATGACCGCATTTCAGAACTTATACGTCTCTTTTGGCTTACGTTTCACGTTTTCTGCAGTTTGAGCTTCAAGTTGTAACTGTCTCTATACACCAATAAATCCACAAATTTCAGAGAAATAAAAGAAACCATACCAAAACAGAGAAATGGATTTGCAAACTAGTCAGAAAGAACATTTCTTTCTGTATATGAAACTATAAAGTACAATATTTTTATAGAAAACCAGATTGAAAACCCATGTTACATCGAAATTTTGATGCATTTACAAGCAGAAAAATGTGTTCTTTGCCAACTCAAACAAACATTAATCAGAAGACACTCTTAATTATAGGCAACAATTGCAATCCTTTATGCTTCAAAGACACTTCAACAACACAGATTATCAAGATGAAGAACCATACACATAACCGCAAAATATCGTACACATTATGTCTAAAATCTAAGAAAAACCATTTACCTATGAGAATTGCATCAGAGGCGCAACTCTGCGAATAATGCCAAGCAAACCAACCCTTAACATACGGGAAAAGGGTCAACTTTGAACAATTAAATTTTGCCTGGGAAAGTACGGGACTGATTCCAAAGATAGCTGGTGGAAAGCTTTATGAAGTCATGGAAGTACAGATGAAGGGAATGCTCTGGTATTCTGATTGGCCCAGCAAAATAATAAGAACAAGTAAAGGCTCCAGCTGAATTCAAACACCCAATCGTCATAATCAATCAGAGAATCAGAAAAAGGACGAAAAGTAATTGGGCTACAATCAGAACAGGGATTGAGCTAAAATGGCATGCGGAATGCGTGTCTGTGAACCAAAGTGCTTTTACTGCTTACACAAAAGAAGGAACTTTGGAGTTAATGGCGTCCACAGTATGAAGGGTTTTCTCATGGGTGATGAAAGGCGCCTTTCACCGAATCGGGAAATGAAGAGGGTAGATTTTCAGTTTAGTCCCCAACATAATTGACATATAGCTAAATGTAATCCATAAGTTTTGAAAATCAATTAATTAAGGTATCTTGCATTTGTAAGAGAAGAATCCTAGAGAAGCCTATTGTTAAATCGGACAAGATAATTAATAATAATTTTATGGTTTCAGATCAAGTATATGTCTTTCTAAATAATTCATCAAAATCAAGAAAATATTAATTAATGTCGCTAAAATACAAAATCACCATTATTTATTATCCGATCACAAACCAATCAAAGTTCATTATAAATGTTGTTTCATTTCTTATGTGAAGATAATGTCAGTAAAAAGATAATCAAACTCGATTTGTGAAAACGACATATATTTTAAAAAATCTACTAAACGACTTATAAAAAAAATAATAATCGAGGGATAGATGATTAGAGAGAAATATTGATGACAAGGGGACTAAATATTGATCCAAAGACACCAAGGGAATCAAAGACTTGCATGTCAAGATTGGTTTGAGGTATATTTTTGATAAATTTATTTGAGACACATTAATATAGATGTGAATTTTAAAGATTTTCTAATTATTCTATGGTTTCAATTTATGTTTTGAAAATTGAACTGGATTGGGTGGTCGAACCGGTTTAACCGGGAATCAGAGGCCTCCCAGGTTCGGTTTCGGTAATAACCAGCAATCTTAAAAATCGGTTAAACTCAGTCAAATCTGAACAAAAACTGCGGTTTGATCGGGAACCGGTACCGATTGAATCGAATTTTTAAAATTTTGAAAATAAATTGTTTTTTTAAATGTTTTTAATAGTCGGCTTTGACCAGTTTCAAAAATCGATTCAAACCGATTGAACCAGTAAACCAATGAACCAATTAAGCTGCCTATTTGTCTTCCGGTCCGGTTTTCAAAACATAGGTTTCAATACGACCCTGTTGATTAGTTACCTGTAAAATGGAATGGTTTACCGTTGCCAATTCTTTTATGAAATTTTCAATTAGACAATTAAATGAATGCATTCATAAATGGTTAAATGCTGAAAATTGCTTGTGTAATACACTAATACTCACTCCGATCTTTATTATAAGGTATTTTGATTTCAATTAGAAAAAAAATCTTAAAAACATATTTTTACATTCGTAGTGTTCTCTTAATTATTAGAAAATATTTTTAAGGTTTTATTTTAATTGAAAAAACATCCAAATCTAGTACAAATCATCGGAGTGCCTGCAATTGAGGACTTGCCAAAGACATTAATGAAACATGTGCAAATATATATTGTTCCAAAAAAAATGAATAGTCTATTTTATTTTATTTTTTTCAGAAATTCCATATTAGAATTTTTTTTATTTTTTTTTTGAAAATAGTACTGTATTTTCTAATGCGGTGCCGATTTTTGGGACTTGCCGGTTGGGGTTGTTAGATGAAAGCGGCGTTAACAGACGGTCCAGTCAGAATGGCCGGTGGAAAATTACTGTTGGGTCAATTTCTGATGAATGAGCACACATGGTGAAACCTTTTCCAAAGGTTGCTATCGAAGTATCGATCTCCATCGACCGAACCAAGATTTCCATGTATTGTCTTGATTTTGAAAGTTTTTAATTCCTGAAAATTTGAGACTAGTGTAGTAGTACTTTTTTGCTTTTGGTCCCCAGAAGAATTGGCTCAATTGAAAAAGTATTCTTTCCATTCTAAAAAAATATAATACTAATCGATTTTTTATTTTTTTTTTGTGTAAGTCACACACTATTAGGGGGAATTGGCCCAAAAGTTGGATGGGTCAAGACGCATAGTATCCACTAATCTACCTATATTATAATTGTTGAATATCCTTAAAGGTTTGGTAGTCCTCTTGCACGTGTAAATATATGTTTTTTTTTTTTTTGTAATGTCAGAAATACTTAATTACTATTGATGGAGATTTTTGTGTGTTTTCACTTTAATTACAATATATAACTTTAATCTAACTCTATGATGACAACCTTTCATCTGCTTCATTTACATCTACTTTAATCACAAAACAACATTAAAAATTTAATTTTATTATTGTAAATCTCTTCTTCTCTTTTGCTCATCTCTTGATATTCTAATAACTGCTACATTCAGTTACATTTCTATTAAAATGTATAAAACACTTTACCTTTTCTAGCCTTCATATGCTTTAGTTTGTTTAAACTATTCGGCGTTTACATAGTGACGAACTCACAGAATCAAACCAACCTCTTTAATTGCGAAAATTTCATATCTATAACCCCCATTATAACAAAAACCATTTTTTGCCAAAAATTTCACATGTCAAGATGTCCTTAAAAGTAGTCCACTCTAATTCTCCGCAATTTTCTTCCCAAAAAACACTGATTTACATCCTAAAATCTATCCATTTGATTACTACTTCATTCAGTTACCAAATCAGTTTCAACTTCAAAATTAAAAGAACTCCCCTTTTTAACTTTTTTGAAACGGAAAATAACCTTGCTATTTGAACAATAAAACTAATTTGATCGGCATTTTAACTCAAATTCCAAATTTTGTGAACTAAAAAAATCTCTCTGCCAAGCGAAGATAAGCCAGAGCTGCTCATCACTCACCACAGAGGTGTTCCTGATGAAAGTCATGTAAGAGTATTAACATCGAGTGGACAAGTTAGATGAATTATAAGCTTCTTTGCAATAGAGATGATAGTAATTTCTGCTCTCCTTATCATCGATATTGATTTTTGAAAATTTTTTTAATCAATTTGTCATTGAAATTTGTGATCTTCTTAACTTTATTGATATGAAAAGAACTGATGCAGATGGAGGCAGCCCTGGAAAGGGCAAACTTGAGGGTAATCTACCGGAGTTTCACGAATTTTGACAAGTTCTCTTTTGAAATAAGCCTTCAGTAATACAAGCCCTTTATCGTGCTTGCACATATCGAGCGTCCTCTTCCCAACACTTTTTTCAACACTAAATTGTATGACGATAGCAAATCATAGAGGTAATATTCCGTTGCTCGATTTTATTCGCTATTGTCACTCCTCTATGTTCTTCTTCATTGCTTTTGTACTTTGTTTTAGGATCAATGTTTGATCTTCTTAACTTTCTCTTCACAATTTCCAGGATAATATTTTGACAAAAAAAAATTAACTTGTACGACCAACACAGAAATTTTCATGTTTAAAAAGGGGTTAATGGTTGGGTGAAACTGTTGATCTTTTGAAAATGGTTCTCGGTGATTTCATATGATAAAATCATCATCAAAGCATGTTGGCCAAACTTTTGAAGTTTAATTATTATTATTATTTTGCAGCGCTTTTTTGACATGATTAATTTATCAACAAGAGCCACATATATTCTATAATTTCTTATCCATCAGAATCTTAAATAGTGGTCAGATTCTAAGGATTTTGTTAAGTTGGACAGCCATGAAGATACTCAAGATAGTGCTCTTAAAATAGAATAATAAGGTGCAAGATGAGCTTTGCTTTCTTCAAGAAAGAATTCTGACTGATATTCAACTGCACTTAATCATCATCATCATCAAGTAAAAAATCTGGAGTAAGAAACTGGAATGAAGATAGAAATTTTTTCTGGTAGAGGACGACATGGAAACTTATTTAGAATGATAGTTTGGACGATGTAGAAATCAATGTCTGGCTTCTCATTTGTTTGTTTAGAACCTCAATTTTATTTTGGTAAAATATTTATAACTTGATCCCATAAAAAATACTGAGTGTTTGGAAACCTATTTAGAAGCCATTGATAGCTTAGTGCATCTCCAAAAAAAAATGGAATACCAATTTCCATATATGATTGAATTATGTGGAGTAGTACTTCTAATGGAAGAAATAGAAATTGTTTTCTAAGTACTTCTTAGATTCTTAATGGAAAATATATGAATTGTTTTATAATGGCATTATTTAATTTTAATTATAAAGAAATAAAAGATATTAGTCAATTATGTACCCGTGCGAATGCACGGGTCCATAATCTAGTTAACCATAAAAAAAGAAAAAGAGGAAAACATCATACCTACTCGTCGTCCTCTTCGATCGATGGGCGCCCTCATATATAGTGTGCCATGAAGAGAAAAAGTTCCAAAAATAAGCTAAAGATATATGGGGAATTGATCCACTCACTAGATTCACTAGAGAAGTAAGTGGTCCTTAGATCAATTTAGAAACTCCATCTGATTTATATGTTTGCCAAACAACATTTGAAATAAATATAAAAGAAGAAAACGTGTACCATGTTTTTTATATTGATGGAGTATCTCTAGCTATGTAGTACTTTAATTTCATACCGTATACATCCCCTTTGTTGCACAACCACACACGTCAATTTACTAATTTGTACGTACTTTTAAAAATATATAATTTTAAATATTCATCGATGATTTAATGCTTATAATTAAGAAGGTGACCTGTTGCGAGTTTATAAATCCAACACTAGAAAGAATTGAGGAAGAAGAAGAGAAATGGAATTCATTCAAGAACTTCATATGAATGGAGGAGGAGGGGAAACTAGCTATGCCCAAAATTCCATCGTGCAGGTTGACAACTTTTTTTATGATAAGTTTAAAATATGCATGCCTTAACTATTTTAATTTTGTCGCGCATTAATCCTTTTAACTGTTTACAAATTTTGTCTTGTAATCCAATTAAATTTCTTGCAGAAGAAGATACTAAGTTATGAGAATCCCAGTATCCAGGAAGCAATATCTGCGATATTATCATGCAAAAACAATTTTCCGGTGAGCATGGGAATCGCAGATTTAGGGTGTTCATCCGGACCAAACACTTTAATGTTGATTTCAGAGGTCATAGACATTGTCAACTCCAGAAGCACCAAAATGGGGATTTCCATGCCGGAATTAAGAGTTTATCTGAATGACCTTCCGGGCAATGACTTCAATGACATATTTTTATCGTTGCCGGAATTCTACCGGAAGCAAGAACTGGAAAAAGGCAAGAGATTTAACAAGAGTTGCTTTGTAGCATGTGTGGGTGGTTCGTTTTATTGTAGGCTGTTTCCCAAAAGGAGTCTTCACTTCGTTCACTCTTCTTCTGGCCTCCATTGGCTCTCTAAGGTAAATTAATTATAGTACGTTTTTTAATTTCTTACAACATTATGATAACCAAAAAAAAAAAAGCTTTTAATTTTTTATTTATTTTAATGGACGTCGTAAGATATTGACAAACATATATTTATCATGCATGATGAAAAAAAAGGTTCCACCACTTCTGGATTCGAATGCTAGCGAACATTTGAACAAAGGAAAGATCTACATCTCAAAGACGAGTTCAGAAAGTGTAAGAAATGCATATTTACAACAATTTCGGAGTGATTTTTCATCATTTCTTAAATCTCGATCGGAGGAAGTAGTCCTAGGTGGTCGGATGGTGTTATCGTTCTTAGGTCGAATGACAACCGATCCGACCACCGAAGATTGTTGCTACCAGTGGGAATTGCTAGCTAATGCCCTACAAACCTTGGTTTCGGAGGTAATAATTAATACTCGTGACTCAATTAGTTTATACTAATAATGAAATGAGAATCATTTGAGGATGAACTAATTAATTTTTTTAAAAAAATATTATTGTTAGGGACGAATTGAAGAAGATAAATTAAATTCCTTCAACGCGCCTTACTATGCACCATCTGTGGAAGAAGTGAGAAATGAGATAGAAAAAGAAGGTTCTTTTGTGATTAATAGTTTGAAAGCGATAGAAGTCCCGTGGGATGCCGGTTATCGGAGTGACCGTGACAACAAATACACCGAACTAACATCGGAAGAATATTCTCCGACGACGTCAACGACCGGTGGCCGGGTGGCTAAAACCATTCGGGCGGTGGTTGAATCCATGTTTGAATCTCAATTTGGTAAGGAGATTATGGATGATTTGTTCATTAAGTTTGCACAACTTGTGGATGATTATTCTTTAAGAGCTGAACCAAAGTACATCGATCTCGTTATTTCTGTCACCCGAAAGTATGAATAATTAAGGGAATAGACTAGTCAAATTCATTTCATTATTGTAATACTTTGATTCATAATTATGACTTATTTTTTTTTTCCTAAGAAACTAAGTGAATAAGGTATTGCGGACAATTCTTCTATTGTGTATACATCAATTCCAATTAAGCAATCCCATCAGTTTGTTTTAATTTCACTTCTCTTTCGTATCTTGTAAATTGAATAATTAAGCTAGTAGGAAATGCAATCACATCAACTTTGCATTAGTTCATGATCATAGTCTAATTAAATGTGGATTATGAATTTTCTCAAACCCTTTTCTGTTATCTATGTTCATTCTTTAGCTTGCTTTGGACTGACTGGAAATTACAATTTTTTTAAAAAAAAAAATGGAAAAAACAGAGAATGTATGTTTGAGAGTTTGAGAAGAAGTATCCTATAACAATACCAAATCATTTTGAGAAGCCTTTAGCTGACATGAAGGCAATTAATGTGCTTTTGTAAGCCCTTCAATCACATGAAATCTAACTAAAGCTAGATTTATGTTACATGCTTTGCACGATTTCGACAATCATAGTACAGAGAATTCATGTTTAGGTCATTGAAAAAGAAATGTCATAGAATAACAAGTGTCATAATTAAATAGTTCGGTGTAAATGTAATGCTTGGTGCTTAATTGAAAATAACGATTAATTTGTGAATTAGATTGTGTTTTTAATTGATCACATGAAAATACTACTCCAAAAAAAGATATACTTCAACCTATAACCTGTTACAATCCAATAAAACTGAAAAAGTTCACGAGTTCCTCCAACCAATGATCCATGCATTCCGACAAAACGCACACATGCTTGATGTACGAGTTGATGTTTCATTTCATCAAATCTCAAAATGCTTTTGGAAAAATGTATATAACGACTTCCTCTCCGAGGAATTTCATGAGTTAGACAATCCATACGCGTGCCAAGCTATAGTTGTGGGGGAGGTGGTGTGTGGGGGAGGAGAAGAAGAACAAAAAAAAAATTACATCCAATTATTTCAAAAAACCAACTCTCATTAAAAAATTTTATAATGACATAATTGATTGATTGATCCATTGAACTAAAATACAGTCTTGAGCTGTGTAGGTAAAGGTTAGAGAGATGCAGGCTGGATGGGAGACAGTAATTGACTAATGACCACCAGTTTGTTATAAATGTATAAATGGTGGTGAAGGTATCATACCGCTACTAATTGAATACCTGATCAGTCAATTGTAATTCCATCACGTGTCTTTTTTATTTTGAAGATATCAACTTACATCATTAAGCAAATGGTTTAAGCAAATACAGATAACAGTACTAATCATAAATATTAATTAGGCATTGTGTCACTTCTGTATCACACAATTCACAAGTCGTAATCAACTATCTAATATTGTTCTATATATTGATAGGCGATATAATCTAATTTTCTTACAACTAATCAACTAGTATTATCAGGAAGGTGAACTTATAATGTACTCCCTCTGTCCTAAAATTATTATCCAATCTGAGATTTCACTTTTAATATAAATTGAACTAAAAATGAAAACCCAAACTGGACAATAATTATGGGACGGAGGGAGTAAAAATTAATAGTTGCGAAATTGATGATGCAGAGATTACATGTTTACCTAAGCATAAGCAGGGAGGAAGCACTCCCCCGTCCTTTTTCCTGATACGACGGTGAAGGAAGCCAAAAAGGGAAGAAAACAGTTACTCTATTACATAATGTACGTCTTTTAAATGCCAATCTCTCTGTCGCGCACTTGGTTAAGCTTAAACCCATGGAATCAATTTTTGAGCTTCTGGTAAGCAACACGTTTTATAGCTAGTTTTGGGATGATTGTAACGGTGGATGCAACTTTGTTTGTTTACGTTAACTCAATTTCTTTGACAGAAAGAAATCACCCATTGAGTTCGACAAAAAATATTACCGCGTGAAAGGTACTTTGGCCCTTTCTTATGAGTTGCGAGCCTTTTTAATTATATATACCCATTTTACTTCATCCGATAATTATATGTGACGGACGATAAACGTGTGTGGTTTCGAGTTTTTGTTGAACTGTCTTTAATCAATTGCCCTTTAAATATATATACATATATATATATATATATTTATATATATTGAGATGGAACCAGAATATTATATTAATCTAAATGGTATAAACCTTAATTTTTATGTAATTAATTAAACTATTGCTGCGTCTTCAACATTTTGGCAACGATCTTAAATTCAAAAACAAATTGGAAGTTGAATTTAAGCCTGTAAGCAACCAATTAACTTAGTCTGTAGACATTAGATTGATCAGCACATGGAAACTAATTAGAGAACTGTCTGGATAAGGAGGGAGCCGCAGCTGGCTGGGTGTGGAGATATCAATTTGATCTAGTTTTTAGTTATATAATATAATATTTGGTGAAGGAATTAAACCGCTGGCTAATTTGATTAATATCTCAGTGGAACGGAATTTCATCACATGTCATTTTGATTTTTGAAAGTTTTAATTCACATTATATTGTATATTAAGAAAAATGGTTTGCTGAAAGACAAGTTAGACACTCTACTTAATAAATATATTATGCATATTTCTCATTATTATACTAGCATTGGGTCATTTCTGTATCACAAGTCATAATTAATTATGTACATAGTTCGCTTGTTTAGCTCAGCTGATCTAACCCAACAACGACTCGATCAATAGTTTTATGAGAGGTGAAGTGAAGGCACAAAGAAAATTTTAATTACTGAGAATGTGTATGTTATACCATTTAATTAAGTTCTTAACGATTTGTTATTTTTACTGCATTAAAAAAAACCTTTTTTTTTTTGTTTTTTTGGTAAACCTAAGTTAATTACAAACCAAATATTCAGTAGGATTAAAAAAAAATTTCTTTGAAATATATAATAATAAATAATAATTCATCGATCGACTTAACGTCTCAGTGAAACCTCCAGTATTAATTCACATACTTTCCGCGCAAATTCGATAAATCTTACATAAGAAAGAGTTACGGTCATGACCATATTACCCTAATAAATCAAACACGAATTATAAATATATTTTTCACTCTTTTTAGATTGCTCTCACCAAAAATTGAATTGCTGATCTCATGGTTTATTATTTCTTATGATTATTATTATTATTTTTTGTGGTACTAAATTCTTGTGTAGAAAAAGATTATGAGTTTTGGGAATTCGAAGATCGAGGAAGCAATATGTGACATTTTGAGGAGCAAAGAGGGGTTTCCGGCAAGCATGGGGATAGCAGATTTAGGGTGTTCATCTAGGCCGAACACTTGGACGTTGATTTCAGATGTTATAGACATGGTGAACTCAAGATGCAGGGAAATGGATATTTCGGTGCCGGAATTAAGGGTTTATCTGAATGATCTTCCGGCCAGTGACTTCAAATCCATATTTATGTCACTCCAAGATTTTTACCATAAGCAGGAAATGAAAAATGGAGTGGGGTGTATAAGGAAGAGTTGTTTTGTAGCTTGTGTGGCTGGTTCATTTCATGGTAGGTTGTTTGCCAATAAGAGTTCTCCACTTTGTTCATTCTTCTGCTAGACTCCTTCAATGCTCCATACTATGCACCATCCATGGAAGAAGTGAGAAATGTTGTGGAGACATTAGAAGGTTCTTTCATTATCAACAGTTAGAACGCGTTTGAAGTCAAATAGGATTATGCTGGTTTTCAAAAAAATGAAAAAGGTAACAAGAACTATAGGTTTAAAGTATCATCATCAACAAGTGGCAGTTGAGTAGCTAACGCAGTTAGTGCAGTGATTGAACTAATGTTGGAATGTCAGTTTGGAAGTGAAATTATGGATGATTTGTTCATAAAATTTGGACAATTTGTAGATGACTACTCCTTGAGAGCTCCAGACCCGCATTACATTAATCTGGTTTTTTCTGTCGCCAGAAAACTGTGAAAATTAAGGGTGGAGATAAATTATTGAGGATGAACAATTTGCAATGGTGATGGATTTTATGTAAGTGACTGAATTTCTTCAATAATTTGTTCTTGAAAGAACATAGCAAAATGATGTAATATTGGGATGTTTTTGTGTGTACATGCATGTGCGTGTATGCTTTTTTAGTGCTAGTGAACTAGTGTGCCATCTGTGTTTTGTGAAAATGCAATGTTGTTTTCCCTATTATTCCCATGGTTTATCCTAGTGGAAGGTTTATCCTAGTGGACTTTTATGGAGTTGATGTTTGTTTGCAATAGAAAGTTCATCGTGCTTATTATGAGCTTATGCTCGACTTGTCAACTAGAGTTTTGTATTAATGTTTTAACAATATATTCTCTCCGCCTCAAAAAGATATATAGTACATATTTTATTTGTAAATAGTACTGAAAATAATAATTTCTCTGTTCCAAAAAAAATAAAAAATAATATAAATCTCAAAACTCGATGTGAACAACTTTTTTTTTTAACGGAGGAATTATAAATCATAAAATACAATATGGACTGGTTTTTTGAGATATCAGTTGGAACTTTTTGATTTTAGTCATTTTTAGCGTTTTTTTGGGTTTTGGCAGTTGGCACATTCATTTTTAGCATCTTCAATTTAGGAAAATGTGGGGGATTCGGGGAAGATATCATATTATCATTATTCTGTTCATAGCATAAGTAGCCCAATAACTTTATGGGCTTTTTATTCAAAATAAAGTTATAGGCTTTAGATTGTACCATGTAATATAATGATATGTATCGGACATTAGGGTTACATGTTTTGGCAAAACCCCCTAGTAGAATTCTAGAAGCTGTATCCCACGAGATGCTAAAACCAACTCAGTAGTTGACATGTAATTTAAGCTTCAAAACTTTCTCAGTATATATATATATATATATATATATATATATATATATATATAAACATGTTAAGGTGTATAATCTGTCCCACATCGCCACCGTGAAGAGAAGTGACTCTGTTTATAAGCTACAAGGGCCACCCCACTCATTGCCAATTGGTTTTGAGATGGGAGCCTAAGTACTTTGACCTGGTATTAGAGCCAGCACACGGGTTGTGTTTTATATTATGTTTCTTCTATTTCTCTTGACTAACCCGAATGGATAAATTGATTCACGGGCAGAGTCCGACCGGCCCATTTGAGCTTTGACTCATGGGCGGCGTTGACTTCTTTCTCCGACCTATTTGGGCTTCGACCCATAGGCGGTTTTCAATTCTTTCTCCGACCATTGGGTTATGACTCATGGGCAGTTTCTCGTTCTTGTTATTGCAAGTCCATTGGGTAAAATTCCCCATTGGGCTTGAGGGAGGGTGTTGAGAAAAGAATCCCACATTGCCCGTGCTCAGGATCTGAGACCTGTTTATAAATTCCAAAGGCTACCCCACTCATTGCCAATTGGTTTTGAGATTGGAGCCCAAAATATTATATACTTTGACATGGTATCTGAGCGGTCTGGACCTGTAGTGGAGTTCTGGGCGGAGGTGACCTGTGGTGATTTTATAGTAACCCACTTGAGCTTTGACTCGTGGGCTTGTTGTGGACTGAACCAGCGGTATAACTGGCTTTCTCCCACTTGAGCGTTGATTCGTGGACTATTCTGTTCTTGTCCTGATCCAAGTCTATTGGACAAAAAATTCAAAAACCCATTGGACTTGTGGGAGGGTGTTAAGGTATATAATCTCTCTCACATCGCTACCGTGAAGAGAAGTGACTCAGTATATAAATATCAGAGGCTACCTCACATCGCCACTGTTAAGAGAAGTGACTCAGTATATAAGTATCAAAATCTATGTTCTTCTTTTAGGATACCAATTTCAAAATGTTAGCATCTAATTAGTGAGTTGTTAGAGTAGGAGTTAGGCATGATCTTACCTAGGACAAATAATATCAAATACTTATGTATACTTTGCAAGGTATCTCTTTGCCTCCATTGGTTCCTCGTTTTTATTCCTACATGGTATCTAAGCTCTTATTATTTTTTAATTACTACATGGTACATTTCTTTGTATCCAAATGAATCCTAAAAATTCTATGTTGGTCAATGCTGGTATGCAAATTGAAAAATGCAAATAGTGTTGAAAAATGAATTTATTATAAAATATTATATGGCTGTTATGTATTAATCCACGGTTTTATGAATGGGATAAATGTCCACATTTTACTCCTGTTGGTAATTTGTCATTTTTTATGTGGGTATTACTAATTAGTGGCCTTCAAAATTCCATTAAATTCATTTTAGTGCTATCTTAAATGTGAGTTTACCGTTGCGAGAACAATATAGTAAGCATTCTCGCTTGTTTTCTTCTTCCTACAAATTTCATATCCCTTTTGAAAACACACACAACAATTTCATATCCCTTTTGAGCTTCAGTACTTCTTCGGCTTTTCATTCCAAAACATCCATTAAGCAACTTCCTTTCTATTCTATACTAAAAATCATTGTCTTTTCAAATCATTTTACAATAAACACATTTCTCTTCTCTTTTTTGTGCAAGCTACGTTGGATTATGATCAGTTTGTTGTAGCGAAGCTTAATTTAGCCATCACCGAGACTGCATCATGGATTGTTGAATATATGTTTGGAAAAGAACGTCATCAAATTATATGTGGAGAGGACGTATAACTTTTAGGACAACGCTTTCAGTATATTTCAATTTAGGCTTTTCAATTTAAACTCTTTTGTTTAAACTAATTACTCGTTTTTGTGGCTTTCGTGTTGTTTGCCAAATTATTTTCCTAACAAATATATCCCCAAGCTCGTGGCTGTCACATCTAAAAATCTCATGTTCACTTGATCTACACTGTTGAAATCCTTTCCTAGAAGCTATCCCTTGGGTGATATACGTGTTATCCAACCCGTCCTCAAGATGTTGCATCCAACTCTTATGGTTATGTTGCATCCAACTCCAAGGATGATCCAACCAAGGAAACCGCCAGCTTTACTGCCCAAGTGCGATGTTGAACTAAGTTTGCTAAGATTTCCACCGCCGAGAGTTGATATCATTTAAGGTAGGAACCTAATTTTGGTCCATATTATGGTTATTATCATTTTGATTGTCAAACTTAATTGATTTGATAAGGAAATGAATGTTGATTGGCAAAGAATGCACCTAGAGTACTTTTGGCCATTGGTTTGCATCTACCTGGCCTGGTGAGTTGCGGCACAATTTTGATGGCAGTATGTTTGTGTTCTAGGCCGGATACGAGTATGTAAAAGGCTAAGGGTGTCCAATAGTTAATATCTTTATGTGATGTACAAGAAGAAGCGCAATCGATCGGAAGAAAGGGCAAAAAGCAGATGTACTTTATTATTTAAAATTAGATGTCATGGTTTGAATTCCAAAGTCCATTAAGAGTTATTAGGGCATTTGTTGAGATTGTCAACCGAAATGGCTGATGATTGATTATGTGAACCAAAAGCTTAGTGACAAAAGAAATTGATTGCGTTGATTTGTTCTCCCGGGGTTTTGTACTTCGTAAATTTTAATGTCAATATTTAAAAATAAATAATGGTGTTTAAATTTTCGACAGTGTCCAATCCATTTTGAGTTTGATGCTAATACCCAGATTCATATATGCTTCCATCACCTACGCTTAAAAGTTGTAAATGTTGCAGGAGGAATTGATTAGGTGTAACGAATGCTAATTATTGGATGAATATCTCTTGCTATAATTTGGTGATCCGCCAATTTTCTTTTATACTGTATGATTTTTGTGATAGTTTGCGCTTATGGAAAATCTATGAAAAATCCATGTAACATTAGAGATATATGAAGCGAAGAGGTTTTTTCTTCTTTTTTTTTTTTCCTTTTTTTTTGAAAAGGAAGCATTGCGTATTAATCGCCTAATGTCAGTATTTTTGTGACTTATAAATGGTATTCTTATAATTATATTGCTTCATTTTCTTTAATACTTTGAGATGTCATATTGCTTCATTTTCTAAATGGATGTATAATACCAAAAATAGGATAATGTAAATTAAATTATTAATAAACTTCTTAATTTTAAAATTGATATTATCATTAGAACTTCAAAACCCATCATCAACTTTAAATTTAAATTAATTTATTTGAAGAAGTATTTATAGTAAATGATAAAATTAATGAGAATTCTTTTTTGATTCCAAAAAAGAAATGCTGTGTGTTACTATGAAGGTAAATTATCTTGTCGCTATAATTCATCGATAGCCCATTAGCAATAAATAATACTAAAATTTAAATATTATTATTAACCAAGAAAAAAACTTTAGTACTGTCTAAATTCACCGCGCAGCGGGCGGCACAATACTAGTTCAATTACAGAGTGAATTTTTCAAGACCAAGGGCACCGTTACAGGATCGCCAATCCCACATCGAAAGCATGACTTAATCACGTCCAATATTCCCCCATCCAACATTATTGTCCAATTTGAGTTTTTATTTTTAATTTAAACTAGATGTATTTGCCCGGGGGCGTCCCATCTAATAAATTGATATGTAAATAATAAAAACTGATTAAGAATGAATTTAGTTTTTGATGAAAATAATTGATTGACCGAAAATTAATTTTTTCAAAAGTCCTAAATAAATGGAAAAGGAAAATTCCATACACTGTCAAATTCAAAATTTGAATGAACATGGTCATCTGATCTCTTCGTTAATATTGTAAATATATTTTTTATTTTTAAAAGGATGTGACACGTGGCAGAATGATTTATGCAATATGGTGCATTTGGAGCTAAAATATTTTAATAAAAAATTGCCACATCAGCATCCTGTTTTCTGCTTTAATAGGGTAAAAGGGATTACATTAAAAGTGAAATCTCAAAGTCGATAATAATTTTGGGACAAGAAAGTAATAACATAGCCAAATTTTATAACCATAAGCGACCTCATAAGCGACCTCCTGCGCGTGAGTACGCGTGGTGCGGAGTATAACATGAGACGCTCACATAGTCAGTTGGAACAAAGATACTCTCGTTTTCCTGGTACCATTTTCCGATATCATAACGAGAGACGCGCTCCTCACACTCGCTCCTCCCTACACGGTAAACTTCAAAAAGAAAAGGACACTAATCAGGGAAGAGAAGGCCAACAGAAAAGATGCATGGACTCATTTACATAGAAACTATAGGAGTAAGTATCGCAACCATACCACGGGCGAAATCACCACTTTCAATAGCATTACAAGCACCATAGCAGATTGTGTTTTTAGCCAGCTCTACAGCTTCAGTTTCAGACATGTCTTCACGAAACCTATAAAAACAGCCAGGATCTTCTCAGAAAAACGCAACTTAAGTAAAATCAGTCGAAGTTCCAAAATCCTTACAGCAAAATAAACCCCAAAACAATTAATATCAAAATTGTATCAAAGATGCAAAGAATAGATTCCACTAAGTTCAATGCAATGCACACTACAACAACCATATTTAAGTGTAACAAATCCAGGTGAGTAGAAGCACTGAATGAGGAGGCATACGTGGCATCGAAATACTTGGCATCGAAATAACCAACGCAAGATCCTGCACCAGATCCAGTGGCACCTACTATGTTCTTGTCCCGTTTCTTCGCACAGTTCTCCACTTCCCCAAAACAGTTCACGTGATACAGGAGAGGGCACTGCATGAGAACATAAACCATATAAGAGTAAGCAAAGATGACGCAAAATTTTGCAAACAATTAAGCCAAAAGAACAAGTGCTCACATGTAACGTTTCGTCCCACCCTGCAATCAATACTGCAACTGGAATTTTGAGAGGAGCCACAATGTCAGCCATCCATTTCGATGCCTCTTCAACAGTGACTGTGCCCCCTTCTTTGATTTTTCTTTCACACTGACATTTACAAACAATGAAACCACTGAGCAATCTGTTTCTAACAAGTTAAAACCTAGTGTTGATAAGTAAGCCTAGAAAGTACCTTCCTGCGCAATTTTTCAAGCAAACATTCTCTGCCTCCAGAAATAGCGGCAACCATGTGAGAAGGAAGTGCAACAAGCTTCGGGTAAGAGGAACTCAATGCTGCATTTAATAACAAGAGTCAGTAATACTGAATACTTCAGATTGTAAAACTTAAACATAGGATTCACTAAATAAACCAACTCACAACAATCCGCAGCTACAAAAACCCAATCTCTGAGAATAAAACCGAAAGTAGTGGTTCCCTTTTCTATCTGAGGGTAGAAACCTGGAGACTAAAAACAACACCACAAAAAATAAATTAATCAAAGCAAATCAAGGATCAGAAAAGAAAAGCTAAATTTTTCTTTTAGAAGGGAAAGAATACTCACGTCCTTGTCATCAAAAAATAAGAATGTTCTACTTGAGAACTTGTTTTTGTTGTTGAGATAGCTATGTTGATGGCGGGATAAAATTTCGCGTGGCCGGGGGGGCATATTAAATCCAGTACTGAAGTCGGAAAACACCTTTTTCACCTTTTCAATTCCAGCAAAACAAACAAAAGATGAGAAACAAAGTCAGTTTCACTGACATGAATTCTCGCCCTAATTGTTCTGCCTAAGATCAAGTTACTCAAGCCAGCTCTAATGGTTGCGCTACGGACGCACTGCGAAGTCAAGACTCATTAGTTTATGTTTTGTTTGTTATACCTACCTCAGGTTCTACAATTAGAGGAGTATACTCGGTTGAGGCTTGGGGCTCCTCAAACGTAAATGAGCTTCCGTCAACCTCCCAAGGAAGGATAACCTCAGAATCTGGGTCGACACAACAGTCCAGGGGTGCAGTTCCAAAAGGAAATTCATTTTCATTTCCACTCTTGATCTCCGCCTTCAGATCATCAAAGAAAGATAAAACAAAATTAAATGAATAAACCCTTTTTTTCTCACCTCGAATCCCAGCAAAACAAACAAAAAAAAAAAAAAAACCATCGCAGAAACAAAGTAGATTTAATAGATTAGAGATTCCTGCCCTAACAACTTGAAATTACCAATGAAATTCAAATTTCTAAAAAAAAAAAAAACAACAACAAAAGCAAATTACCTTTTCCTTGAAATCAATAAGGAACTCAAGTGCATAGGTGCCGTCACTCATCTCGGCCTTCAAGGAATCAGGTAGGGATTCTGCCACAGATCGCGGAACAAATATGCACGATTTTAAATCCGCCGGCGCCGGTAATTTATCGAGGCAAGTCAATTTCCACCACACAGGTTGTGACACCTTCAAATAATTCAGACGAAACGGGGTAAATTAAGAAGCTAATAGTGTTGAAATTTCATTTGATTGATACAGTAACGGATTAAGAAGAAGAAGAAGAAAAGAGGAAATCAAATTCACCTGTTCTTCAGCCTCGATTTTGCTTCCATCCCCAAAATGGAAGACAACATCGGGATCTACTTCGTCGACCGGAGCTGGCCAAGGACAACCCCCAAAATGCACTCCGCTTCCACTGAACAATTCAGTCAACATTATCTCGCTTGATCGATAGCTGAAGCTGATAAAACACCTTACAATCAAGGGTTTCCCAGTTTTTCCCCAAATTTTTCTCTTTACGCTGAGAAGATATTTGATTATTTTCCCTCCACCAAAAGCTGCTATTTATATTTCCAACCCCCTATATAGTAGTATATACTACCGACTTCCAAAATAATTGTTGTTTGAGAATGTACCGATAAATTATTTCCAAGATACTCCCTCTATATTCTATAATAATCCAAAATAAGTGTCATTATCCAACTTATATATAAAATGTTAGTAATTAATAATCGATAATAAATTAACAAATTGTAGCCATTAGTAATTTTCTTCAGTAGTACAAAAACTGAAGAAATCGATTTGATAAGATAATAGTGTTTCAGAAAATTTTCTATATATCTATAGGTCCGACAATACCATAAATTAAAAAATATCCTACATTTGGAAAAAAAAAATACTAATAATTGAGGAATTGGTAAAATATAAAATTATTAATGTTTGCCTTTTCTTGAAGTTTATATCTCATGAGATTTCATCATTGATTTGTTTCATTACCCTTGAAAACTCTGTAGTATTGTATTTACGTCTTACAAATAGAAATTGTGAAGAGTTTTGAGAGTTTTTTTTTTTTTTTTGGTTATGTGACGAGAACGTGAGATAAACTATATTTGAATTTATTATTAGAATCTAGAAATGGTGTCACTCTTTATTTATTTAATTAGGATTGTAAAGATAGATTTGCGGAAAATTAAGTAGGTATACAAAGGGTTTTTTTTTTAAGAGAAAAATTCTTTAAATTAATGATTAATTAATTTATCGATTATTTAATAAATGTATGAATTAATAAAATTTGGTAGTGTCAACACTATTAATTCATAGAAGTTTTATTGTATATAGTTTAAGAAAAACTTAAATAAGATAGTTAAATTGGTTGAATATTCCCAACCAACCTCATTAAAATAAATGTTTAACAATGATACTATTTCTAATACTTATATTTCTTAGGATTTTGAGTTATTTATTAGAAAAAAAAATAGCACCTCATATTTCATAAAAATAATTAATGTTTCTTTCATTCCAAAATAAGTGTGGTTTAAACAAAATAATTATAATAAGTCCAATGCACTTTTGTCCAAAATTTTTCAAAATTATCATGAAAAAAATTAGTATCATTGATTTATGGTTGAGAATATTCAAATAATTTACATACGATATCTAAATATTTCTTAAACTAATGTGGAAGTTGTCCTATAACACTTATTTTGGAATGGTGGTAGTAGTACAAAATGCTAATTTGTGATCACTTACTCTAAATATCTGATCACACCAAGAATCAATCAAGTCAGATTCTTTAACCCAATCTCTTCAGCTCTATCGGACCCTTATGTTCTTCGGTTACCTGAAACTCTTTGAAGATTCACTCCCTTCCACTTCTTCTCCACCACCACCACTTCAAAATCATTGCTTTCAATTTCGTGGCCATCCAGAAAAGACTGACACTTCTTTCATTAAAGAATTTCCCGAATTCTTCCAATTGAATCCCCTCACTACCAAGGGTTGAGTTTTTTGGTTGATTCTGCAGAGACCCTTGTTCCTAGTCTTACCGTAAGTGATGGTTATTTAGTACTCCCACTGGCTCTTAATATAAGGCATTGTGGTTTGTCATAAGTTTCACCTAGTACGTATTTTTAATTGACAAAATTTTTTTTAAAATATTTCATAATAATCAAGAGAATGCAACAAATGTAAAAACATATTTTTAAGGTTTTTTTGAATATTAAAAATGAGTACCAGATGAAACTTCAGAGAAATCAAAATATCTTATATTAGGGACCGAAGGGAGTAGTAAATAATTTGTCTGATATGCTTGATGGGGTTTCCGTTGGAGGCTTTCTATGCTCAATTCAGAGGTTGTCTGAATATGTTTTGAGTTTTCGGGGCGATTTGTTCTGGTCTCTTAGTGGAGTTGGCGCACCAGAGTTAATTTTGGTGTGTATGTGCCTGAAGGTTGCAAAGTTAAGAAACCATTGCATTTGAGATATGGGACAAAGCTTTACCATTTTTATATTCGAACTCAATCCTTGGGTGCTGCTCATACTAAGTAGACTTCGGTTAGACAGGTGAATATGTAAAATCTCAGACTTATCATCGTATGTTCTTGTCAGTTTAACTCAGTTCTCTTCCTTGTGGTCCCTATTAATAGTTCATTGCATTGGGGATTGGTAATTTGCACTAAAACAAGGTTAATACATGTGAGTTTATGCATAGAGATTGCAATTTGAGGTTTAAAAACAGTTCAGGTCTGGTTTCTCATCAACTAGGATCAAACCATTTTAAGCCATTGAAATAGGAAATATACATTTGCAGAATTGCTCAAATTGAACTCATTATTATATAGCCCAATCGGTACCTGGGAAGGGAGTGAACATAAATATTGCTCGTCTGATTCAGTGGACAGAAATATCTGGGCAAAAATAGCGGATCTACCCAAAATTTTACATGTTTCGTCAATTCTACCTTATTCTTTTTCGGTTAGCCAATATTACCCTAAACTATCCAATAGTTAGTCGATTTTGTCCAATTTGCTATTTTCCGTCTAAATTAACAGAATTTTATTTGTTTTAATTATAAAAACACCCTAATAGTTTTAAAAATTTATAAAAATAATCCCAAAAATTTACAAAAATTATAAAATAGTCTATTTTCAGTTTTTATTTAAAATTTTTTGTTTTTCATTTCTTTTTACGATTTTTCATAACTATAAAAATATACTACATGATCTTTTAAAAAAATATTTATTTTTAAACTTTAATGTACAAATTTTTAATTACATATTCGTATGTCATGTTTGATTTACATAAGCATATTAATTTTTTAATAATATGGTTTTACAATAATGATACTATTTTTTAATCTATTTTTTCAATCTAAAGAATAAGATTATTTAACTAATACTAATTTTTCAAAAAAAAATTAAACAATTCGCATAGATTAAAAAAGAATCTATTGGTATACTTTAATGTATTACAATTTAATTCAACTGACTTTAGATTGTATTTTAAAATTTAAAAAGCAATCAAAAATAAAATATAAATTGTCTTTAAAAGGCCAAGTACAGACAGAAAGTAAAAAAAAAAATAACTATTTCATTTCCACGTTGGCTCAACACAAGAATATAGTATCGTGGTATTTATAAAAATGGTACAAAATATTTTATAAAAAATATGTATATTTATTACTGCGAGGGTTTAACATTTTGTGATAATGTTTTGAGAATTAATATATCTAACTTTAGCAGGAAGTCTTTTTTAAAAATTAAAAAAAAAAAAATCTACTCAAGTACTGGACTCCACTTTTTTTTACATTAAAAAAAAAATTAGATTTCTCCAGTGAGAATCGAACCTCGAACACAGTTTTAATCATCTCATATCATGAATCACCTAACCATCAAATGCATCCCTCTTACCTTTAGTGGATCCCCCTTAAAAGTGGGTAAAATCACTCTCCCGGTTAGAAATACTTTGATGACAGTTAATCTTATATCTACTCTCATGAAACTTAACACCCTAAACACTAGACAGTACCATATATTTTAATTTAATAATTTTTTTAATTGGATAATACAATTTATAGTTGTTTAGTTAATTTGCAATAAATTAAAATGTACTAATATATATTTTTTTAATCTATGCTAAATGTTTTTAATTTTTGTAAAAAATTAGTTTTAGTAAAAAAAATCTTATTCTTTAAATTGAAAAAAGACGGATTAAAAGAATAATATCATTATTGTCTTGCCATATTATTAAAAAAAATATGTTTATGTAAATCAATCATGAGTTACAAAATGTATATCTATAAATTTGTATTATAGTGTTTAAAAATAAATTATTTATTTAAAAGATCATATAGTATATTTTTATGGTTATGAAAAATAGTAAAAAGAAATAAAAAAAAAGAAAAATTTAAATAAAAACTGAAAATAGACTATTTTATAATTTTTGTAAATTTTTGGGGTTCTTTTTATAAATTTTAAAACTATTAGGGTATTTTTGTAATTAAAACAAATAGAATTCCGTTAATTTAGACGGAAAATAGCAAATTGGACAAAATCGGCTAACGGTTGGATAGATTGGCTAACCGAAAAAGAATAGGATAGAATTGACGATGCATGTAAAGTTTTGGGTAGATCCGCCATTTTTTTCGAAATATCTGTCTCGGATTCTGCAAATTCGAGTTAGTAATAAAATCGAATTTTACAAATCACACTAACCATTAAAAAAAATTAAGTATACTAATCCGGATTAACCACAATTCGGATATCACAAATCTGACTATAAGAAATAAAATAATATTTTAGGGAGAAAAAGTTTTAAGTTTTTTGGCGAAAAAAAATTGATCAAACTCGGATTCTCATAATGCGAATAGAACCATAATTTGGATAAGCAAAATCCGATCTTTTGCTACAGTATGAAGTCGGATTCAAAAAATGCAAACTCGGATATGAAAATGCCAAATTTCTGGTACAGCGCGAGGTCGGATTCCTGGAATTCGACCACAACGGAAATTCAAATTTTGTAAATTCAATATTTTGTATAATGTAACAGAGACTTTGGCCAAACGAAGTCATTTCTTTTTCTAAGTCCAAACCTAGCAACGACTATATGAAACACAACTTAACAAATATTAAAATGTTGGAAAGTATTTGAATTACGAATGTTCCTACTAAATTATGTTCGAATTCCGAAAGTTTTTAAAATTAAAAGCTAATAAACATGAAAGAGTTTTAAAGCCAATTTTCAATCACTTTTTCCCCTTCCTCTTCCTTCCGCCGGAACCGCCAGGAGTAAACCTAGATGTCGGTTGGTGCTTCTTGAACACCTACGAATGTCTTGGGAGCGTCTGCTGGAAGAAGCACGATGCGGAGGGCTCTCTTCTTAGTCACCTCCCCTGGTAAAATCTTCATCGCCCTCATCTTGCTCCTCTCCATTAAGAGTCGGATTGGGTTTGATTATCAATGTCCTATCCGAATTTATCTCCTCCCGCCTCCTCCTTCCTCCCCCAATATCTTCTTTTGAGGTTTTTTTTTTTTGTTGGAGCCACAAGAG